CCCCTAGGGATTTTCTTTATATTTTTTTCCGTAAGAACCTTGTACAGAGTATTAGAAAACTACAAAAAAAAAACAGCCAAATCGGTCAAGCCGTTTTCATGTTATGTCGTGACAACGGAAAACGGGTTTCATTTTTATATATATAGATATGAAAACAGTCTCTGTTCTAAATTCAAAACTCGTAACTTTTCCCGATGTTTGTTGCACGTGTTTCCCGCGCTAGGACCGCGAGTGGCCGCGCATGCGTACGGTGCGGCGGGCGACGCGGTAATGGCAGCGCGGTACATGAAGTTGGTCGCTAAAGCGACCAACTTCATGGTGTTAAAATTTTGTGTTACATGATGCGCGCGCATCTTAAAATTTCACTCTCATTAATTTTTCACAACGCGCCTAAAGAAGTATAACTTCAAAAAATGAGTTTCAATGCTTAATATGGGTATACCACAATTTTTTTTCTTCTATTTTTGTGTGAAAATCTTAATGCGGTTCACAGAAAACATCTACTTACTAAGTTTCAACAGTTATAATTCTTATAAAAGTGGCTGTGACATACGGAGGGACACACAGACAGACATACGAATCCATAAGGGTTTAGTTTTTTGCCATTTGGCTACGGAACCTTAAAAATGCTATTGTTTCACGAAACTGCGACGCAAGTGAAACTTAAAATGCTCAGTTAATCACAGATTCTTGTTGTTGAGGTCTGATTTTTTTTTTATTTACTGGGTCCACGTGGTGGGTCATGGACCAATCTTCCTATTATAGGGGAGGCTTGTGCCCCAGTCATAATAGGCTGATGATGATGAGTCAAGCTGCAGAACCATTCATGTACAGATAGTTACAGTTTAATTTTCTCAAAACTTTTAAATTTTAACAATAGGGAAGACGCATATATAATATTTATGAAAATTTTATGATCAAAATGTTAAAAAAATATAAAAGAAATGCCACTGCAACGTTTTTATTTTACATAATGTTGTTTTTTAACAATTATTACAAATTAAAAATACTTGAAACGGAACGTATTTTAAAACACGAATCAAGTTTTAGTGACGTCACTCCTGTTATGACAACTTCTTTGAGGTTATGGTTGTTAAAGTAAATATTATTTTATGGGAATATTTATTGTGTTTTTTTACATTTAATAAAAATGGAAGTTGCGTTTATCAAAGCAGACTCCAGGAATTTACCAAGACTTAGCGTTGACATGGTTATAACTTTTTTTGTCCAAAGTGCAGAGTTTTTAAGTGTAGAAATGAAAGGGACTAAATTACTACGGTATGTAAAAATCGTAGTTGTTAAACTTCGTATTTTATTCAGCGGCATCTACAAATCTTACGGCGATAATGCAATCGGCTATGTCCAAATTAAAAGAGATGGAAAATTATGTACAGTAAAAAGTCGAGTTCTCCGGAGCATAAAGTACGTAAAGAAGGTTATCGTGTTACAGTTATTTTAAATGAAACGCAAAGCTTGGTTCAGTCCTGCCAATGTGAAGATTGTGCTACACATTTTAAACTTTATCTAATTTTCGACGTCATTCTCCAACTGTAAAATTAAAAATATGTTATAGACAGGTTTTGTAAGTATTAGGTAGGTTACTAATGCGTTTTTACGTACAAGCAGATTAATTAAGCATATAACAAGTATATTCGCCGACATACGTCAAAGTGATCTTCTCAGCATCGAATAATGGTCTTTGGAGAATAATTGTCATTTCTCTTCGCAGCTTGAAACCACTTTTTTTTCAGTTTTGGGTCAGAAGTTCCAGTCAAAAACAATTTATTTGGGAACTTTATTGAAGTAGATTGGCACAAAACATGAGTCAACGCGGCTTTTTTTCGGAATATTAGTGGTATTGTTATGATCACATGATGTTGATGGATAGTCCATTTTAAATTTTTCAAAAAAATATTTCGAAAGTCGAAAAAATATGCAAAAGTATGAAATTTTAAAGCCAGCAACGAACAATTACGACCAGTGACTGACAGGAGTGACGTCATCGCAACCATAGGTTCGTTTTCGCGCGAAAATTTAAATTTAAAACCGCATTTTTTCCGATAAATCACAATGTTTTAATTTTTTAATGTATCTGTGGTTTATTCTACATGGAATTCTTTAAAATGAAAACAAAAATAAAAATATTGCATCTTCCCTATTGATTTTAAGCTTTATTGTATTTGATTTACGATTCGTTATCGATTGAGAAATTATATGATTACGATTAATATTATTTTACTTCATAACTTGTGTTTGTTTCAGTAAGTCGCGTCGTATCCATCGCTCTGATGGCCTACCTATTCCCGTATTGGCTCATCTTGGCCTGCGGAATCCATATCCTCATAATGGCAGCCTGGATCCAAATCTTCGAGCACCCTTTGTTTTGTTCGCACAACAAAATTGCTGAATACGCATTCTCTTTAGCACTCGGAGCAGTATATTTATTCACTTACATCCTAGCAGTCGAAGGAAGGACCAGGTATAGATATACAATATACTATACCATATGTTTCCTACAAAATATCACTTGCGGAGCCCTCTGGTATGTTTATGCATCCGATGATATAAAAAACACTATGTACTTTTTGCCACTTTTGATATTAACCGTACTACCATATGTGATTGGGTTAGTCATTATGGGATTGTACTATGCTTTTTTCCATCCAAAAGTTAGAAAAAGTGTTAGAGATGTCACTGTATCGTTTAAAGCTGGTCAACCAATCTCGGAGATTAGGTAACGCATGTTTATAAATTTTGCAAATGTATCAATTGGATACACTTGTACGATTTACATTGTTATTGTCACTAAATATAATGCAATTCAAATAAGAATAGGAAAGCCAATGACCTCCATCTGTCAAATGTCGCTTGAAAAGTATGGCTTGTAAAAAAATCTTGGAACCCTTTTTTAGCACTCTCCTAATTATGGAATAAAACCAAACATTTGTAAACAAACAGTAACAAATATTGTTCATTAATATTGGTTGATATTTTATTTTCATTTATTGAGCTTTGGCTATGAATGTTTGATAACCTAAATCGTCAACCAGATGTCACTTTAAGTTGCGTTCAGAAACTCGATTTAAAACTTTGGTTTACATATAGGATGCATGTTCGTATGTGACCTAGTAATAGTGCATGATTATTCATAACTACTCCGGCGGTAATGCAGAGATGAGCGGAATTGAGGAGCTTCATTCTGATTAATGTTTTTCCTCGCACAGTCTTAATAAATAAATATTATTAAAAATCGGTAATTTTCTTTTCTCAATTTTAGGTAATAAATTTTATTAAAAAATCGGATGTTTTTTCTCACTTAATCTTAGTAAATAACTTTTATTAAATAAAAACTTTTTTGCTCACTCTACCTTTTTCGTTTGAATTGACAGCTATGACGTCACAATATGGCGCCCCGTCGATCCTATTCTTAGTTGAATCGCATTATAAGGTGCTGCCAGTGTCAGTGTGTGAAGTATGAACTGCTGTGAGTTTTCACTATTTCAATGTAATAATGAAGTACAAAATGATGTTTTACCTAGGTAAATTTAGGACATATCGACTAGCAATATATTATAATAATAGACATGTTAAAGCTCTAATAAAGACCATTTTACAAACAATACACAAAGCATAATTAAAATGCCATGCCCAATTGGACATTGTCTAGTAGACTTGAGATCAACAATATTAAATACCCTAGTGCGGTCAAAATGTGTTCCAACCAAGAAGTGCTTGAACACCACTCAAGCACTTCTTGGGTCACAGTCACGCGCGGACCGTTGAAAAGCAAAGATGCCGCAGAGCTCCGAGAAAAAATACGAAAACAATACTTATAGTACGTTAAGTGTCGTTTCTTCGACAGGAATTTAATCAATTTTTGTTTTGTAGCAACTTTTGTTGTAATACTTACTATAAACTGTTTTAATAGAAAATGTTTGAGATATTCAAATGCATAGTCGGTAATATAGTCTTCTCTTTTCCTCGCATTCAGAATTGCGCGTAGAGTCAAAGAAATAAAGTCTATATTCTTTCGCTTATAGCAATAAGTCGTAAAATTTTACAAGCTTGCATTTCGAAATGTCGTATCTCTTTGACGCATGCGTTTTAATTAAGACCTTATACAGTATGCATTAAAGGTGACTTTCAATGTTTCACTAATGCCTTATATTCTCTTGACTACGCGATCATCTTACGGAGCTCCGTGGATCGTTCAATAACCTTTTGGACAGGTTTCGGCCACAATTTTGTTCGTGTTGGTGTATCAAGTGTATTTAATATCATTGCTTGAGATGTATAAGGCTAAGAATTGTTGGCCTATCATTGAACTATCTATTTATAATAGTTTTATTTATATTATACAAAACAGTAAAAGAAATACTGGCAAAATAATCTGTATGTAATGTATAGATAGGTATTGTAACAGAAATGCACGCTTTTAATTTATACAATACCTAATCTATTGGTAATCGAAAATATTTTATCTAATATTAAAGGATGAGTTTCTGTAGTTGTCGCAACATCTACCATTAGTAATTAAAAGTCAGTATTAAATGCAAATACATAACATATCTATGTCAAGTCAAAAATACTTTAAAACTAACTATGTAACAAGTTGAAAATAACTTGACAATAAAATACTGCCAAATGTGTTTATGATAATCTTGTGATATTATGAACCATTGTTTACCAATAAGTAAGTCTTTAGATAATAATTAAAATAAGACTGCCATTTTACAATAACTTTATTTTTATAAATACTTTTTTATGTACTTAATGAATCTCTTCAACGAAATTATTGTAATAATGCATAATTTTTACCGCATTTAATAATAAATAATATTTTTTTTAAATTATCTTTTATTTTACTCATAAACTATGATACATATTACTGGATGTCTGTCATACTGTCTTTAAACATTTTTGTGAAAATGTTCCAACATTTTGTTGCTGCTTTGTCGCATACTGACTGTACTCAAATACAAAGTCAGTAAAACTATTTATCACCAAATAAAAGGAGCTCTTTCTCTTAATATTCTTAAACCAAATTTGTTCCATTCACTTTGATTAATCCACAGCTCGATGGCAGACTCCAAACAAGACATGACCGCTGCACCTTTCCACACAGTACTGGCTGGATCAATATCTTTCGGTGACGTAACTATTTCTAACTGTTCAGTCTTATAAGTGTAAGGTATTTGCAGTGCCAGACGATTCTGCAGCCAAAGGTACAGGCCTTGGACTTTCACCCCTCCTCCTACAATCAAAATGTTACTATACATTTTTCTTTTTAATTCCTCACTTGGACAGCGATCTATACTTTGCAGTATTGCTGCATCTAAAGCCAAAACTTGCCCTGGAGCAAGAGAAACATCTCCTGGACCACCTTCTAAAGCATCTACAACAATATCCTCATCTGGGTTAGTATTTGGCTGTGTTTCATTGGCAGCCTCAAACTGTTGGCCATCATTAGCAGTAGGATCGGCTGTCTCACGTTTTCTTCCTGTTTCTCTCAAAAACTCAGCATCAAAAGGATCTTCAGGGTCACTTGGTTGACGAGACAGTGTCTTAGTAGCTTTCGACCCCGTAATTTTTAACAAATCTGTATAGAACATCGACAAGGGTGAGATAATGCATTCGTCACCAACTTGCAGTGTGTATTTGTTAACTACATCTCCAGGATGATCTACAAGAAATGACTTCTCCTGTGGACCACAAATGTCCAGGTTCACATGGCAGAAATTCTCATACAATGTCCTCATCAGTACAACATCTCTTGGTATATTTTCAGTCCAGTTTTTATAGGGGAATGCACTTTTGTGGAACATCCAGGATAAAGCTTGACAAACATCTCCGGCTCCATAGTCCATTCTTAACCTAGTCGTCTTATGGGAAATACAATCTTCTACACATGATATGGCCGTTTTTTGGTCACCAATGTCTACTACACAAGCGGAACCTATGCCAGCTCCAAAAGTTGCCCCAACACTCTCCTGAACAAGAAAACAATGTCCGAAGCCCAAATCTTTTAACAATAATGACATTAAACACTTCAAATGGCTTCTTGAATAAATATCTGGTATTAATAAAACACACCTGTACTTTATAAGTTCAATTAAGGGTATACCCAATTTGTATTCTATTATGGAACTCCATATAGTGTAAAGATCATTCAGTACAGAGGATATTGAACCTCCTACTTCAGAGTGCAAATTGAAATCTCCTCTTCTGTAAGGAAAATGTATGTTGTAAGGTAACTCAGGGTCAATATCGAGGACCAAGTCACCCACAATAATTTCGCATTGGACTTGTGGCCAGGGTTCACCATCGCTTTCGCATTCTGGCAAGGAGCGACGGTTAAAAGCAGCGATTTGCTGCGGCGGGGTCGCGTATCGGCGCGCGCCATTCGACTGTACGCACGTTTGTAGCGTGTGCGAGATTTGTAAACGACATTCTTCCAGCTCTTCGATCAGTTCTTTAGTTTTCGGCACACTTGGCGGTATGAACGGATCCCTGTATATTTTGCCTCCTGGGCGCCTTTGTCTGGCGATGCAGTGCAGCTGTTTGACTGGTAGAAGGTCAGACGCCCTACCTATGCGCACATAAAGTGATCCAGGGTGGATAACTATGATTCTGTTTGGAGGGAATTGTTGAAAATGCTCCGGACCCGGGTCGTATGCTGGTGCGCTCATTGTAAATACTGCACTTTATTTGATAGTGATTATTAATACTACTAATCTAAGCTTTAAACCGCAACTTGTGCAATTATGAATATATTTTTATGGGTTTTATTTGATAAACAAAACCAAAACAATGAAAATAACCTCTTTTTTGATCCAGTTACTTTTTTTTTCATCGGAGGCAAAAGGATCAAAGCTAGACAGAAAAAGTGAAATGTTGAATGGCAATGGCAAAAATAAAGTAGAATCAATAAGCTTTTAAAATATACTAGCCTAACATATATAATTAATAATAATAAAAAAAAATTGACCCATAGTTAATATAAATGAAAACAAGAAGCAGGAATAGTAGAAAAAATAAAGAAATGGCTGTAAGAAAATAAAACCAATTGCAAAAAAATTAAAACAACATTAAAATGACAGCTTCTCAGGGCTGCCAACGTATGACTATTACCCCACAGTACTTATTTTTAGGGAATCTGTTAAAACTTATAATACTTAAAAACTTATAGTAATCTCGATAAATAATATTCAATGATAAAACTTAGGAGTTATTTATTTGAAAGTCACAGAAAGATATTTTTGACAGAGAATACATCAAAAATATTTTTTTAAAAAGTTTCTGTTGTGCTAATTAACCACTAAGTTTACTTTCCACACTTCAACACTTTCCCTTACTCTAACATGTATGTAACCAAAAAGAAAATAAATAACGTGTAATAACACGGAAGAGTATAAAACGTTAAAGTAAATAAATTAATCTAACCCTAAGCACTTTACAAAATTCTCATGTTTTACCCTAGGCAAAGCTTTAGTTAATAGATCTGCCTCTAATACTGTGCTTGGTTTATATTTTAAGTACACTACTTTTCGTTCAACACATTCACGAATGAAGTGGCGTATAGTATCGTTATATATTCGGATAGGTTCCCATACCGACTGTGATGGTGACTGTTTCCTACAACATAGCTCTAACAAAAAAAATCTAACAAAATTAGCTTCCTTTACGGAATTACCAAGGGCATAGTACTCGGCTTCAGTTCTGGAACATGCAACGTTTTGTTGTTTATGGCTGTGCCAATTTATAATATTATGACCATATCTAGTAATAAAACCAGAATAAGATTTTTGGTCAGGTTGGTTGTATCCCCCGCCCAATCTGAATCGGGTGAAAATTCAACACTTTCACTACCTCTTCTAAAATTAAGTTCGTAGCTTATTGTTCCTGACAGATACCGTAAAACTTGGTTCGCTGCTATCCAATGTGTCTCATCATAACATGTGTTATGTGACTTAGCTTACTGTAGGCAAATGCGATATCAGGACGGGTGCACACTGCAAGATACATTAAACTTCCAATAAATTCTTGAGAATCTTGAGTCAACCTTGTCCGCCTTTGGAAAATTAAAACTAACTTCCATAGGAGTTGAAACTTTGTGACATTCTTCCGTACCAAATTTTATTAAAACATTTCTAATATAGGTATTCGCTTTGCGACAACTTTAAAGTCCCTTGCTCTTTATTCCTTTCGACTTTCATGCCTAAAGCCGGTTTGATGGGTCCAAGTAATTTAATTTTAAAATTGGAACTGAGCAAATTATACAGACTTTTCTTTTCAAAATTATTAGAACTAAAAATGAAAAAAATGTATTAATATAAAAATTACTTAAATAGTAGAAACTGTACACACAAATAATAAATAAATAAATAAAAAACCACAGTGCCTGCAGGAGTACTAAAGTTTATATTAATAGTATCATTTATTTTTGTCAGCCATTTTATTGTTTGATTGAAGAATATATTTGTTTCTTTTTTTTCGGGGTAAAATTAAGTAAGAAAATATCAACACAGAATTTGACGTTCGGCGTGTCACCTAAAAAGTGGATCACTACACTATTTATTTTTCTCTTGTTTACTTTTATTTATTAGTGAAATCAAAATAGTCTGAATAATGGTTTCGAGAAGTCTTACAGAGGTTTTTGTGTTGATGCGAAATAATGCAATCCACAGTCGCCAGATATTCGCGGAACAGGTGTGGTATATATTTATTGATTAAATTCTTATTTTACACAAAAAAATTAAGAAAGTCTAACAAAAACTACTGCTGGACACAGTGGATAAGCAAATCTTTTTATATTTAAGATTATAGTTTTTTAGCTGTGAAGAAAAAGTACTTGCTATTGAATTGATCTGACTGATCTGAAACCAATACAATTGAAAAAGTCTGTCTGTAACGCTAAAGTACCTACTATTGATTTAAATCAATGTAAACGTAAGGAGTATCTCCAAATATGTTAGATTTCTAAAATCAAGTAAAGGAAATTACTGGTTTTGACTTCTTTGCTTATGCTATCAAATTACCTTATCAGTAAAACATTTCAGTCAAGTTTCAGTCAGCACAATTTTTAAAGTGAATTAGGCTGAACTGTACTTCCAGGGGTCAAGTGGTGATACTTCACACTAGGTTAGGTTAGGTTAGTGTTGTGACCATATCGCCATAACACCAGAAAAAAACATTGTTTTTAAAAGAGACCTTTTCTACAAGAACTTCGAGTATCACCTCTTGGGCCCTGGAAGTACAGTTTTAAAGGAATCTCGTTTTCTTTGCTTGCTCATGCAGAAAGGATAATCTTATTTATATTGTTTTAGGCTTTTATGGCAATTTAAAACAGCCAGTGTATTCTCATAGTACATGTTTTTTATATGAACATACTAGCTGTGCTCTGTGGTGTTACCCACGGTTTAGTACGGATATTTACCTGCAGTAAAACATAATCTATGTGCTATTCCAGGATGTCAGCTAACTCCATACCAAATTTTATTAAAATTGCTCCAGCTGTTTAGACTTGAAGAAGTAACAAACATACACACTGACAAACTTTTGCCTTTATAATATTAGTGTCATATTTAACTATCATATGGATTTGCAGGACATATTAGATGTTCTGCTTATTTCCATCTAGGGATGCAACTATGTATGAGAATAAATTTGTATGTCACAATGATCTGTCTGTCTTTACGTCTTATGCCTACTCCAGTTCTGATATTGATATACAGGTTGGATTTGTAAAGGAATGGGTAAAATCTTCCATAAAAAGCATTTTGCAAGATTGCAAATACGAGTAAAAACTACAAAAAGTTATTCTACTTAAATGACCACCAGCAAACTAACCTTGAAAAGCTCAATGGCGCAAGTGGTTAGAGTGTTCGGCTACGGTCATTGATGTTAAGCAACTTTCGCAGTGGTCAGTCATTGGATGGGTGCCCAAACTCCCTATTCCATCCATAGGGAACGCCTGTACCCCAGCAGTTGGGACATTAATAGGCTGATGATGAACTAACCTTTATGTACACCGGTTACTGTAGTACCAATATGAGGTCTAGTAGATCACTAAGACAGCCATTTGAAAAATTACAGTATTTTATAGGATTAATGTAAATAGGTATAAATAAATTTACATTAAAAATAACAATGTCGTTTGTTTTCTCGAAAATCAGGTTTTCACCCTTTAAATGGGCAAATTGTTATATTTCAACTAATTTCTTTAATGTATATTTTATTTCATCTAATCATCTATATATATATAAAACTCAAAGGTGACTGACTGACATAGTGATCTATCAATGCACAGCCCAAACCACTGGATGGATCGGGCTGAAATTTGGCATGCAGGTAGATGTTATAACTTAGGCATCCGCTAAGGAAGGATTTTGATCAATTCTACCCCCAAGAGGATAAAATAGGAAACTTTGTCAATTTTAAACCGATCGGGCAGAGACTTTGCATGCAGGTATAAGAAGAATCATAGATGAATGTCATTGTGTATACAAGCCTGAGAACAAAAACTGTAGTCTACACTTCAGCTCTACACCGAAGCGAAGCGAGGGCGGGCCGCTAGTATTTACACATTTTTTTAGTTTGATGCACCTTGTCATTGTGTGGCGTTGTAATCAAAGCGCGGTCGAAACACGACTGTTTGAAAACTTTGCACAATAGGTGCGTGTGCGCAATTTTGGTTCCAACACTTTTAAACGCGATTGTGAGTGTATTTGTTTCTATACGTCGATGCTGTGTCTTTAGCAAGCAAGCTACTATGCCTTCCATTGGTGGCAACTAGTGGTTTGCCTGAGTCACTAGGGGTCACAATTGCTCGATTGTGCTTACTCTTAGTCCATGCATTCGTACTTAAAAGTTAATACTATGCGATTCAAATAAGGATAGGAAAGCCAATGACCTCCATCTGTCAAATGTCGCTTGAAAAGTACAGTTTGCAAATAATAATTAGAACACTTTTAGCACGGAGCTAATATAAGAATAAAAACCAAACAATTGTAAACAAAAGAAGGAAATAAATTATATGTGAACGTATAAAAAATGAGTACTGGAAAATGGAAATATAAGAACTTCAGTTTTATTTTAAATACAGGTAATAAAAATACTGTTTTTATTTTAAATAAAGTTGTCGTTTTAAAACCTACAATAATCGACATTTTATATTATAGCCGAAAGTAGCAGTTGTGATGATGACTACTCTGACTGTAGTGCAGGCAGAGATGACCAATATTAAGAGCAAGATTCCGATTAATGTCTCACTCTACCTTAATAAATAAATATTATTAAAAACGATGTTTTTATTTTTCTTAACATTAGTAAAAAAAATTTTATTTAAAAATCTGACAATTTTTCTCACTTAATCTTGGTAAATAAGTTTTATTAAAGAAAAACTTTTTTGTTCACCCTACCTAACCGGGTTTAATTGACAGCTATGACATTACAATATGGCGCCCAGACGGTCCTATTCTTAGTTGAATCGCACTGTAACTATGTAACTGGAAGGCAGGAAAAGGATTTGAAGTCAACTTCTGTCATCAGAACTACACAGAGCGCGTGCGGCTCATGCGCGAAAGCTCGCGGGACATGGAGGAGGGCGGTTACGGATTGCGCTCAGAGGAGCACGCGCCTCCGCCCTGGACGGACGCGTTGGAGGAGGCACACTACGTCATCACCAGGTATAAATTATCCCAATTTTTTAAAAGACTTAAAAAAAAGTATGTTCTCAATTTGTAAATCAAAAGCTAATGTTCCAATTTGAATGGGGTTTTCGGTATATAAGTACATATTTATCATAAGAGGTTGTATAAAATATACTAGCAGTTTCCCATGGTTTCACCCGCGTTGAACATGCCAAGCCATGTGTTTAGCAGGTAGATCATGATAATGGTATTGACTTCAAATAAATATCAATTACTAATATCTTATTATTTAATATTCAGTTTTTTTTTAAGTTGGTTATATATTATAATTTTTATTTTTTAAGCATATAACTGCTTGATGTTTAAATCTATAGAAAATATAACTAGAAAAAAATGTGGGTTACCTACAATGCGAAGAGATGGCGCTGCCTTGCAGCTTAAGAATGGCTAGAGGTATTTCGACGCGGCCCTCAGGGCCGCGGTAGCATAATTGGTCAGTGCATTCGCCTGGATAGTGAAGGGTGCGGGTTCGAATCCCATCTGCTGCCTGGTCCGCGTGGATTTTTTTCTAGTTATATTTTCTATTGGTTATATATTTCATTTAAAATTATTTCTACCATTGAAGAAGTATGCCTTTTCAATATCGTTTATTATGTGCGATGCTCGATGGTTAGCGCGTCTGCTAGAATGAAAGTTAAACAACTAAGGATGGGTGATCAATTTCTTTATCTCGAGCTTTGAAGCCCACGTTAAGCTGTTGGTGCTGGCAGCATTTGCAGTCATTAGGTCCACGTTAGGTTTGGATCAGCCTTCCTTCTTCCATCCATAAGGAGGGAGAAAGACTCCCAAAGTGGGGTCATTTTTACTTCCTCAATTCGGGGTACGCATTAACACGCACCATAACTATTCATATGCGTAGCCAGAACAAACGGCCCTTAGGCGCTAACCCCCTTATTCCAAATCGCGGACCGAAGTTACTCTTGGTTTAAATCTAACGTTGTCTCTGTCTTCTTCTTAGCAAAAAACAGTGGCAGTATCAGTTTTAGTCCAGGTTTAACTTTAGTCGACTTTTTGTTATAAGGCAGTAAAGGCCTAGTGGCTCTACGGCTTCTAGAACACCACTAGCTACTCGCCATTTCACGGCTTGTGGTCCTTTAAGGATCTCCCCGTCCAAAGTCGAGTGACGATGTAAAGATTATCTGCGACCAACGGCATACTCTTAAAAACCAAAACTCATAAACACGGGCCTCCGTGCCCAATATTTTTTCATTGCTAATTCGATATAAGTATAACTTCCTCAATTTGCTACTGTGCGAACACCGAACTCCTTCTTTCTATAAATCTGAATCCAATCGTAGTCAGAGAGCGCTCATCGAGTTTTGCTTTTTCAAATATGCCGTCGAAATCAAGTTTAGCAACAGCCGCAATTTTTACCAAACAGGCTAAAGACCAAATTATCCGAGTTGCGGTCCCGGCACGAGCGCCAGATCCGACGGCCGGCCTTGGACGACTCCAGCGAGCAGCAGCACATAGGACGCCTCACCTCGGAGATAGCCAGGCTACTCTCGCAGGCCCATTCTCACATTACCGCCATCAAGTCTCACGCGGCATATGGTGAGATAAACATCTATCTTTCTCTATCACACGTAGGAGATCTGGCAGCAGCACATAGATTGCCTCATTGGAGAGATAGCGAGGCACCTCTCACAGGCCCATGCTCACATTAACGCCGTCAAGTCCCACGCGGCATATGGTGAGATAAACATCTCTTATTTATCATACATAGGAGATCTGGCGAACAGCAGTACATAGGTTGCCTCACTGGGGAGATAGCCAGGCATCTCTCACAGGCCCATGCTCACATTACCGCCACCAAGTCCCACGCGGCATATGGTGAGATAAACATCTCTTATTTATCATACATAGGAGATCTGGCGAACAGCAGTACATAGGTTGCCTCACTGGGGAGATAGGCAGGCATCTCTCACAGACCCATGCTCACATTACCGTCATCAAGTCCCACGCGGCATATGGTGAGATAAACATCTCTTATTTATCATACATAGGAGATCTGGCGAACAGCAGTACATAGGTTGCCTCACTAGGGAGATAGCCAGGCATCTCTCACAGACTCATGCTTACATTACCGCCATCAAGTCCCACGCGGCATATGGTGAGAAAAATATCTATCTTTCTCCATCATACATAGGTGATCTGGCGAGCAGCTGCACATAGGCCATCTCACTGGGGAGATAGCCAGGCATCTCTCTCAGGCCCATGCTTACATTACCGCCATCATGTCCCACGCGGCATATGGTGAGATAAACATCTTTTTTTTTATCAGACAAAGATCTGGCTAGCTTTAGCACATAGGATGCCTCACCTTGGAGATAGCCAGTCATCTCGCACCGCCAACAAGACGCACGCGGCATACGGTGAGATAAACGTGACCACCAATCACCACCAATTAGATTCAGATCTTTGTTAGCTCGTCAGCGCCGGCTCTAACTTGATCTAGTCATATGTTGCATCACGCTATTGCGCTAACAGACGCCAACGCACCCCATCAGGTTCGAGTGGCCTAGAGGCTCCAGACGGAGAGGAGACTCCCCCCACGGGGAGACACCATCCGCCTGGAATACCTCTAGAGGCACTCGCCAATTCTCGGCTTGAAGTCCCCTTAGGATCTCGCCGTCCCCAAACCCGGTGACGCTGTAAAGGTCATCCGCGACCAATAGCATACACATTCAAAAAAAAAAAGACGTCAATGCGCGGATATGGTAGCTCACTTTTTCAAAGTTTGCTGGCGCTCATTCTTTAAGTTAAGCTTCTTCTTTATTGAGCGTGAGTTACAGAGTTAGCTATGTTCGCCTTTATTGGGCGCTTCTGGCTATTAGCGACAGTTGTTAAATCATCATCAAAGTGCAAGTGCTCTAGTTAATAGTTATTTATGAACCCTCATAAGACCAGTAGTGTCGTATTTTCTACTTTCCGAGTTATATATGAAAACAGATTATTGAAAATCTTTGCAGCGCAGGTTCAGTTGTAGAATAAGGGCTACCCCATTTGTGTTAAAACAATTTTCGAGTCGTTATAGGGTACGGCGGTCTGGGGGCCAATCGCTTAAAGGGATTGCTATGGCTACCGCCATCGCTTACGATTTTTTCTATATATTTCTGACCGCCGGGGTTTCCAAAACCTCATGCTCATTTTTCTTTAATATTATTGTTACCAATGGAAAAGCAAATGAAAGAGCTCGAGGCATTTGAGGCAATAACAAAATAAAATCGTAAGCGATAGCATTAGCCATAGCAATCTCGTTACACGATTGGCTCCCTGTCATCATTAAAGTTACACTAAGTTAATCACATCCCCCTTTCCAGGTAGCAAAACGGAACAGAAAATTGCGAACAACGTAGTGCTAGCATTAGTAACGACACTAAGAGAGATCAGCGAACAATTCCGCTCAGAGCAGTCGAACTATCTCAAATGTCTGACCTCGCGCGAGGAACGATCCAACGCTTACTTCGACCTTCCCAACTTCGAGGAATTGAGTCTAAACGACAACGAATTCCTACCGGGCCTTTCAAATAACCAGACAGATCTGCTCTTCTCATTGCCCAGTACTTCCAAGAATTATATGGAAGACGAGAACTCCCAACCGCAGGAGAACTATCAGAAACAGATTCAGACTCAGAAGCAGATGATGTTGTTGCAAGAAGATAACACTAGAATGGTAGCAGAGAGAGAGGAGGAAGTCAACAAAGTAGTCAAGTCCATAGTGGACCTCAACGATATCTTCAAAGATTTGGCACATTTGGTCCACGATCAAGGCACGGTATTGGACAGAATCGACTATAACATTGAGCAGACGCAGGTGTCAGTACACGAAGGCTACAAACAGTTACAGAAAGCGGAAAGGTACCAGCGGAAAAACAGAAAAATGCATTGTATCCTCATATTGGGAGTTACTATTGTGGTCTTAGCGATACTCTTGATAATAGTGAAGAGTTAGCTGTTAATCCTGGTGTAGGTAAGTGATATGCCTTATATTACGTAGTTGGGATTAAAACGGGGTTAAGCCCTAAACGAGAAAGTTACCTGAAAATGTAGGTGTTCGAGAAGTAGGGAGATCTGAAAGTTTTGGTGTGTACGCTTCTAGCAATCCGAACAAACAAGGACCTGTTAGTCAAATGAGGGCTTTATTCTAATCAATTCCTGTCTGTTCACATCAATAATGTCATCGATGAAGAGTTCTTATTAATAATTATGTCGATTCTGGCTTCTCTAAAGCTAAACTTAAATTTGACAACAGTGCATCCTTGTCATTCTCTATACAGAATGAAAAGGAGAGGGTGATGTTAAATTTAGTTTTAAGTTTAGTGAATCACGCCAGAATCGACACCATTGGCTGATTATAATTCAGACAAAAAGCTTGGGTTTAAACTGTTCCAAATGTTCCGGCAGGCTTTTTCTATAGTTATGATGAAGATGATATGATTTTGTATTGACACTGTAACAACATAATAATATTTTGCAAATATTGCTACGTAATTATTTAACGCTGTGAAGTTTTTTTCTCAACAGTTAAAAGAATGTAGACGGTTCAAAAGTATTGTTGTACTGTGTATCCATTTTGAATAAAGATTTTTTGTCTTTGACTTTGATTATATATATATATTCAACTGCTAGATGTTTTTAAACTAAAGAAAATTTTATCTAGAAAAATCTCCAAGTGTTCCAGGCAGCATATTTAAAAAAATAAAAACAATAAATTACAATAATTAATTATTGATATTTCTTCTTTCAAATGTTATACTTGAGACCTTGATTGATCTGAACAGACAGATTATATATAACAAATCATTCCTATTATGCCGGCACTTCATGTGTCTATTTATACTTGCTATTTGGAAAAATGACATTTAATTTTTTCCAAATTTATCTTGATCTTCTTAATAATATATAAATTACGCGCCATGTTGTTTGTCCGGGATGGACTCCTAAACTACTTAACCTTAATTAGTTTAACCAAACTTGCACACCATGTGCAGTTTGCCCGCATTTGTAGGGGAGCTCGATGGCGCACGTGGTTAGCGCGTTCGGCTGCGATCGTTGAAGTTAAGCAACTTTCGCAGTGGTCGGTCATTGGATGGGTGACCAAACATTTACTATCTCGAGCCCCTCCGTGCTTCGGAAGGTACGTTAAGCCGTTGGTCCCGGCTGCATCTGCAGTCGTTAATACCCACCAATCCGCACTGGGCCCGCGTGGTGGATCATGGCCCAATCTCCCTATTCCATCCATAGGGAAGGCCAGTGCCCCAGCAGTGGGGACATTAATAGGCTGATGATGATGATGTGCAGTTTGATCCAACTTGAAAGATAGGATAGGTTAAATCTCAATTTAGTAATTAGTCGCAATAATATTTTGTTGCAAATTATTACTTTTGGCCGGTACAAAGTAGTGATGTAACGAATATTCGCATTCGCGGGTATTCGCATATTCTTGTATATTCGCATTCACATTCGCATTCGCAAAATCACTGCGAATGTTTTGCGAATATGACTATTAGAAAAAACAATTTGAAGGCAATAGTATGTTCATAAAATCAAAATCCATTAATTTCTTTTCTTATGTTTTTTAATGCAAGATAAAATAACTAAACCTCGTAATCACATTATTAATCTTGACTTTAGCATTTGGCATTATTTATTTATTTTCTTTACTTTGGGCAATGAAGCTTGACAATTAAAATTTAAACTTAGAAAACTAATTAAATAATGAAATGTGAACAAACAAAAACAAACTCTTATAAGATTTTTATCTAATCATCTCCTTTGACAAAACTAAAAAAAATGTTCCATGAAACGTTTATCAGTATTTGCATAACTTTTTAATGTTTAAATAATCATAATTATCTTGAATAAAACAAAAAATATAATCGAACGAGACGCCCACAATGCCATAGACAATATGATGGATGATGACTAATTTTTTTTTCTTCGCTTATCAGGTAGATTATCAAAAAGTATTGGACGCGTATTTTTCCTTTTTTCACATAATATAAACATTGCAGAGATGTATTGATTTGAAAAGTCGCATGACGTCACTTTTTGGTACACTTTTAAGTGAAAATTCACTAAAAAGTGACGTCACGAGCCCCACTTTACACTTACTCCCAAACTTTGACGCGCTATCACTTTGTCATTTTTTGGTTGATTGCCCAAAGAAAAAATACGTGTCCATTATTTTTTGATCATCTAACTGACGGACTAAATAGAATTTCGTTTACTGTACCCCGTCATCACCCCTATTGGCGCCAATTTTGGACAATAACTAAATATTCGCATTCGCGAATATTCTAAAAATTACATTCGTTACACCACTAGTACGAAGTTCGCCGGGTCAGCTAGTAGGCTTATAAAAAGTGCTTTTACACATCCCAGTATTAAGTTGTGTGTGCTGAGAAACCTTTGTCAGCAACTTTTATAAGGATTTACAATCTCTTATCTATTAGACAAGTCCGTCCGTCTGTCTGTGGTGCTGTTTCAGCGGCCAAACCGTAAGAGATAGATAAAGAGAATATTTAAGTTATAAGTTAAGAATAGTCTGATAAGACTACAAACCGGATTTGAGTAACGTAGCACTTCCGGTTTTCGAGAAATCACGAATTTCAAACGAAACCTCACAAAATCTCCGAAGTTCTCAATTAATTAAATTCCTTTTTTTTTTTTAAATCAGGTTTTGGTGAACATTTGGTTGTCTGGTTTGCTAGTACTGTATATAAATATAAATATTGATATTAGCTAGGCAGTTATAACATTTTAAACATTTAGGCCTTTCTCATTAAGTTACTTCTGATATGTGCCTTAATTTCATAAGTTTATGAATGGGCAGTTCTTCAATCATCATCGTCCCATTAATGTCCCCTCTGCTGGAGCACAGGCCTTCCCTATGGATGGAATAAAGGGTTTGGGCCATGCCCACCACGCGGGCCCAGTGCGGATTGGCGGGTGCTAACGACTGCAGATGCAGCCGGGACCGACGGCTTAACGTGCCTTCCGAAGCACGGAACTCGAGATAGAAGATTTTCGGTCACCCATCCAATGACCGACCACTACGAAAGTTGCTTAACTTCAACGATCGCAGCCGAACGCACTAACCACACAGAGTAATTTATTGAAAAGTATAATGAATATGAATACTATTAATGAATCACCAATCTTATGAAGGCTGAAATTTGGAACGGCAATTTTTTTTTCTGTTTCCTGTATTGAACTTATGTAAATCACTTCTTTTTGCAAATTGCTCTTTATTTTTACGAACTTAAAAAAGGTTTTCATAAACGAACTGTGAATCTACGACCAGCTCAATCTTGACAAAGACAAAGACAACAGTGTCCTTGTCATGCTCCGTGATGAGTGAAAAGGACAGACTGATGTCCAGATTACAAATAGCAAATACGATTAGCCAATTGAAGTGACCGCATAAAATAAATTGTTTTCAAATAAATGTTATATTAATGTTTGTATTGAGAACTAATTGTAGTGTAAGGTTGTTGTGTCAAATCATTAAGGGAGTGTATCGGATAGTTGTGAGAGAATTGTGTTATTTATTTGATCGGTACTAAAATAATTTGCTTATGTCCGTTTGTCTTGAACTTTAAACGCAGGCAAGGTCAGTCTTATATTATAATTACATATCATCATTAACTGCAAGAATTTTGTATTGTCAAAAGCATATTCAATATACCTTTTTATGTCTTTTATGTCGTTATAATTTAAAACTAATTAATTGTTTTAATTGTCAAAACTTTCTTATAATAGTTTCAAACGTTAAAGTATTGTGGTGTTGCCTGTACTTACTACACGATCTTATTTAGGCAATAGGATATGTTTTATTGTACTAAAAATACTAAAAGTAATAAATAGGTACTCTTAAACACATTGTTCCATGTTTGTGATCTTTTTGTTATACGTTTAAATAACAAGCCACCACCTTTGCATCTGCAAAATTTTAAAATTACGGAATCCGTAATGAACTTTGAAACAAAGCAAATAAGGCTGGAAATCAATTGGAACATATTTACAGTTTGTTTATTGTCATAATGTACATTATGGATTGAAATGAAGCGTTTAAATATATTTAACGATTCAAAAATACGGAAAATCATTATGGGTGTATTCCAAAATATACATCAGTATACTGGCCAGCGGTAATGACGTCACGAATCCGACGCCATATTGTACTGGTATGCTACCATATTTTTACCGGGAAAACGAATATGACGTATGACCGAGCGTGCGTCAGATGCATTCGAATTTTATTTCTTTTTTTATTTAAAGAACAATAATGGCATCCGAACAAAGAGAATTCCTTTTAATTTATGAGGTGAATAAAAAAATCTTCTTTATTCGCACATTTTTAATATTTCGTCGATTTATGACGTCAGTGCACTGGCCTGTATATTTGTTTCTGTGGCTTCTGCCGCCCCTCAAAGGTCATTTTTTTAGACAGTTACATTTCTTTTATAATAATTAAGGTTACCGACATTACTAATGGAAGAAATTGCAAATAAACATGCAATTTAAAAAAGGAAAATCGTATTCTAAGAAAAACAGGAGATTTATGTTGATAAACAGTAGAACAGGAGAAATTACAGAAAAACAGGAGATCTCCTGTAAAATCTGGAGACCTGGCAATACTGGCGTCAATTCACGACGTCATTAGCACTGGCACTGGCCAGTATACTGATACTGGTATATAATACGGAATACATCCTATCATGCGACTTGGAATTCGAAAGTGACTTAAGTCGCATTCGATGATACTATGTCAGGCGAGCGAATCCAAATAGAGCTCCCTATCAGTCTACCCTGTAGTATACGGTACCAGTTGATTTGCCTGTGATTGGCTTGTGACACATTTTGTAACTGTCAACGAAGGTCAACTCATAAAGGTATAAGAATACAGTGGCGAAGGTGGCTCTAAGGGTGGGTCAATGACGTCATGGATCGAGTCTATACTGGTAAATTGTTCCGAAATATATTGGCCAGTGTAATCGACGAAATATTTAAAATAGTGCGAATAAAGAAGATTTTTTAATCACCTCATCAATTAAAAGGAATTCTTTTAATTCGGATGCCGTTATTCATCGCACACACGCTCGGTCATACGTCATATTCGTTTTCCCTGTAAAAATATGGTAGCATACCAGCACAATATGGCGTCGGATTCGTGACGTCATTACCACTGGCCAGTATACTGATGTACATTTCGGAATACACCCTAAGTGTCCGTCTCGTAGAAAGAGAAAGAAGATGAGAGACGCTAGCTGTCTCTCTCTCTTTTGTGACGGCATCCAATGGCATTACATCGAAATAGTGAGATGCTTACGGTTGCCAATGCGCATGCGCGATTAGAGAGCTAAAGCTAGCGGTCTCTCATCTTCCTTCTCTTTCTATTAGAGGGACACTTCCACTTGTAGTAGAGTCTATATATCCTCTACTCTATTCTTATACCTCATGGGTCAACTCGAAGCAAACAGCTAACCTAGTAAATCTTTGCATGCTAAGCAAGATGATTTGTAATAAATTGATCTTTTAAATATCTACTTATTTATTTATCACGAATTAAATTTACAGGTATTATATGTTTATACTATCCGCGCGACATGTTACAGCGAAACAGGCGAACAGAAGTATTGTAACATAAAATTTACAATAATTCCTCAATTATTTACAATGAAATCTTGATCAAATGATGATTTTTAAGCAAACAGATATAACGTGGGCGAATGTTTATATTTTGACGTTTGTCACAGAAAACGCATAACACCCAAAAAACTGTTATTATTTATATAATTTATTTCCATTTTGCAGTTACGAGATTATTCATTAAGGTTTATAATCAAGTAACAAAATGAGGCTTTCGTATTGGTGTAGGTATGTAAGCGTTTCACATTATCTAGTCTTTAGTATTATTTTATTTATTTCCAATCAAAATAATTTAAGTAACAAATTTAGTTTTTCAATACATAAATAATTTTACAGTTGTGAGTTATTTTTCCGATAGTTATGGCATAACCATTTTTAAAATGTTTGGTAATTTTTTGTATGAGTAACCGTAAGTATAATGCGATTCATCTAAGAATAGGACCGGCTGGGCGCCATATTGTGATGTCATAGCTGTCAAGGTAGAGTGAGCAAAAAAAAGTTTGTATTTCATAAAACTTATTTACTAAAATTAAGTACCAAAAAGCATCAGATTTTGTTAATAACATATATTTAATAAGATTGAGAAAAAATAACCCCGATTTTTACTAATTTTTATTTATTAGGACTGTGAGAAAAACATTAATCAGAATCTAGCTCTTCTATTCCGCTCATCTCTGCATTACCGCCGGAGTAGTTATGAATAATCATGCACTATTACTAGGTCACATACGAACTTGCATCCTTTATGTAAACGAAAGATTGAAATCGAATTGCTGAACGCAACTTAAAGTGACATTTGGTTGACGATTAAGGTTATCAACCATTCATGGCCAAAGCTCAATAAGTGAAAAAAAATATCAACCGATATTAATTATCAATATTTGTTATTGTTTGTTGACAAATGTTTGGTTTTTATTCTTGAATTAGCGGAGTGCTAAAAAAGGGGTCCAAGATTTTCTTTTGCAAATCGTACTTTTCAAGAGACAGTTTGACAGATAGAGGTCATTGGCTTTCCTATTCTTATTTGAATCGCATTATAACGTTTGCAGTCAACCTTCTGAATGAACTGCCTGATTTTTTCCCAGTTAATTCGGTGCGCATTATATTTATATTTCCAAAGTCTACTTGGTAGGTTGCCTGATACAATGACTCAGAATGTGTTATGTATTTCTTATCTTTTAACTACAAAAGCAATCAAAACCTTTTTAATTTAGAATTATTTTACTTCCATTTTAGTATAACTCGCGGCCTACATGAAGTTAGTACCTACTTGAAGACATTAAACTTCACGCATAACTGCCATGTTTGTTTAGATTTTTTTTTATTGAACAGCTGTTCCTCAGCGGAAATCACTAGTTTGCCAAATTCTCAACATTTGGCAGTTAAAGGCAATAGGGTATTCGACAAGTTTTAGAAAATGATCTCACGTTATTGACTAATGTTTATGGAGTCAGTAAAAAGTTGATATTCATCATTCTGTTGTGTATTTCAGTAAAAATAACCAAATCAAAAACTCAATTTTCAAGTTGCCGCGAAAACGTATTTCTGGACAATATGGCGTCTTACTAGTATGTGACGTCACACGACTGTTATTACAACGACAAACGATACAATGTAATGTCACTTTAACCGGAAGTTAACTTGTGTGTGTGTGTAATTTTAGGCTCCGCCAAACCCAAGCATTATGTGTCACATGACAATAGATAAGAAAACTAGAAAACTTTTTGTAAAAATAGTAAAAACCCCTGCCAATATTCATTCTAAACACAGATGCTAACAATTGGCACTTTAATACTGTCAAATACCCTATTAGATTTTTTTTTCTTGTCTGTTATTTGCTTGTCCCGTTTTGCATAGAGAAGCCAATGTCGTGTAGATAAAGGTAGAGAAATATCTTTCAATTAAAAAAATGGATAAGCGGTGAAATGTAGTGACTTAAAAAAATATTCGAATCCTGAACCTAATGTATTTATTAATTTTCATGATCTATGTATAATTTAGTATTTAGGTACAGACTGCCTGTGTTTGGAAGTTACCCAAAAATATTGATTTTTATCACTGCTTTTTGCGGCTTTATGGAGCTTGAAATAAGATTCACATTCTGTTGAGAATAGTTTACAGTAGTACATACCTTGATATATGGGTATGTATTTTTTTTGCACCTAACCTACTTATGTTTTTTTTTATGATCATTTAAACATAAACCATATAATAAATTATGCTTTTGTCTTAGATTTTGTATTTGAAAAGGAACTAAAAGTTATAATAAAGATCTTTGAAATAATTCAGAAGCAAATATTTAAAAAGTTTATCAACATAAACTTAGGGTCTTAGGTTATGTTTTATAACTTAACAATTTACATAGTTATAATTCCCTGTAAGTATGTATAAATATGTATATTATTATGTGCAAGTTACTTCCACATTATACCATTGTTGTAAAAAATGTTAAATGTACATAAATATGTATTTGAAAATGTTGTTTCTTAAAGTGATCTAATTAAATGACATCAAAACAATTAAAAGACATGGAAACTATTGTCTGACTTTTTTATAATTTTAAATTAGTTATCTCCTTGGTCAATTGTTTTAGGTATTCTTAAAAACATAATGATACCTTTAGAAATCATTAATGGACGGCAGAGTGGTTAGTACGCCGGGTGTCATGGTGTTGCCTACTCGAGAGGTCCCGGGTTCGAATCCTGGTGGGGGCAGGTGTTGTGTGATGAATACGAGCATTTGTACTTCAGTAATGGATGTTTAATACGTATTTCTAAATAAAAATATACTTGTTTATGTACAGTATATGTATTCTATCCGTTACCCTAGTTTCCCATAACACGAGCCTTATAGTGCTTACTTTGGGGCTAGGCTAATTGGTGTGAGTGTTGGAAATATTTATTTATTAATTATCAGTATCATTAACAGCCTGATAATGTAAGAGCAGGGCCAGATTTTGGCAGGACGGGTAACTTAATCACATTAACACTGAAAATTTTAATCAGTGTTATGGTGGCAAAATTTTATTCCCATCACTTACACTTTCAAAGGGCAGTGTTAAAACAAGAGAGAGAGAAAGACACTTGTATAAAATGAAACTGAAGTCCTGTGTCGTGTTCCAGCAACCAAAAGCAACCCAAGGTGGGTTGGTCAGTTTCCACTCGTCTTGCCCACTGCTGGGACGTGACACAGGACTTCAGGTTTTTTATACAAGTCGCAAGAAATTACAAGTGTAGGTGGACTACAGTCGCGAAGATAGATGATGCGGCAGAAATGGTGCCACTTCAGCCTTCCTCAACCCAATCCTATATTCCACGGAGACCTGGAACCCTACTCACCAGCAGGTTCTGTAAGGTGGAGGTGCTTCCCCAGTTAAGTGTTCTAATGCGAGCAGAAAATCTACTGTGACATACCTCTCATTTGACTTATCTTTTCTCAAATATAAAATGAAAGCAAAAGCTTAATAAACTAACCTAAATAAGGAGGTTGGGCCATGACCCACCACGCAGGCCCAGTGCGGATTGGTGGGTACTGATGACTGTAGATGCAGCGGGGACCAGCGGCTTAACGTGCCTTCCAAAGCATGGAGGAGCTGGAGATAGTAAATTTTTGGTCACCCATTGGTTGCTTAATTTCAACAATCGCAGGTGAGCGCAATTACCACTTGCGCCATCAAGTTCCTCACTGCTAATACTTTGTCTCTTTTAATGTAGACATTGGCGGAATCATGACATAAAGGATTACTAAAAGAGAAAAAAATAGGATTGTCTTGTCTGAAAAAAAAAAGCTGTATTAACAATAATCTATCAATCCACCATGCTGCCAGGTTGAATTTCACATTTAGTAAAAGAGAATATGAAATGAAACAATGAGTCAATTGCACTAAAGAATTATAATTGTCAGTGATCTCTCAATATATAAACTTTATCTTTCTAATCATCAGAACCACGAGTGATGGGCCAGTGTAACAGCGCAGACAATAAATAATGCATTCTCAATACATTTAATAGAAAAATATACTTTTTATTTTGATAATTTTTAATTTGTGAATTAAAAGAAACATTAGTTTTGAATCATGAAATAGGGAATGTTAATGCCAAACTAGCTAAAATAATATATTTTCTTTCGCCATTGTGAAAGAATATTGAATTCAATGACATACAAAAATTACACGACTATGTTATAAAATTGTAATTAACTATAACAGCATATAAACTACATTCTTTTAGAATGACAATTTGAGTAGTGTAGTAATCTTCTTAATATAATTGTTAACTATTCTCAAATAAATCATAAAAATGGAATGGTTAATAGTTTTATAAGTTTAAAAAATAAAATCACTCTGAAGATTTGGACACACAGCCCATCGTCTCATTGTCCCGTTTCAGACATACATCATACATTCACAACACAAATTACAACGCAACTCAAAACATAATATGAGATGACACTATCAAACTATGAGTCTTTGTTTTTATTATAAAATTCTTCTAGGTACTTCTTATAGGCTGGCTGATTTGGCCACAGGTACGAAGCTTGTTGATTCAGTGGACTCTGCGTGTTGGGCTCGGCGAGAAGGCTCTGAATCGATAATAATACTGTGCGGACGTCGTACAACGCCGTCCACTTATCCTTCAAAATATCTAAGCATATTAGTCCGCACGTGTCCACGTTAGGATGGAAGCACGGGGTCAAAAATTTCACTACAGGAGGCGCATATGGATACGAATTTGGGAACTCCAAAGACAATTTGTACTTATGTCCCGCGTAAACCGTGTCCTGTGGGCCGTTTATGGTGCCAATCCATTTGAACAAATTCTCACACTCGGGAAACGCAGATATACCTTTATCTGCACATCTCATTAGCTCCATCAACTCCTTTTGAAGTCTGCAGATGAAAATATTCGGTTTCAGAAACATGAAGCAGCCAAAGTATATAAGGCCAAATTATGCATTTTTAATGTTTACTCACCGTTTGCTGACTGCATGATTATCCTTCAACTTAATCGTGTCCTCATTCTGTTTCGCCGGATTAGACGAAGATGCGTAATGAGGATTTATATTTTGAGCCATAATATGACGACAGAACAAAATCAGATGCCACCAGTTTTCTGTTAAAACGATCGACTTCCTGTGAAATTTTAAAAAGCTCAATTTTTATTGGACAATGAAATGAACATATTTGACAGCAGAGCGTAATGGCGGTTTCCATAGACTAACGACCACGAAACATCTGGCACTTTTTTGTCTTTGGTTCTAATAACTAAACGCTATTTTTGCTTTTAGAGAATCTTAACATGAATAAAGAAGGATTATTTTTTTATATATTTAAAAGTAAACGCATAATTTTAATAACCAGTCCAATATTATACTACAAAAAGTCTTTCTAAAATAATTTAAAGAAAAACGATTTATTGTTACTGAATATTATTTATAAATTGGTTTAAACTTTATTAAGGTAGTAAGAAGTAAAAACAGAACAAATTCTTAAATCTATCTGTGTATTTCATATCTAATAATTTCACAAACGTTTTCAAAAAAGTAGAAAGCCACTTTCACTTTCATTGATAATGTATTTGTTCAATAGAGCGTTAAATTGGAATCGCCAGTGTGGTTTAATGCAAAAAGAAGGGTCTAGTAGTCTATTTAAGATAAACTTTCCACAAAATTGTCTTTAGTATTGAACAACACTCATCGCAATTATTTTTGCACATATCAATTAGTATCTTAAACAATGTAAGTATTATTTAAATTTATTATATTAAAATTATTAGTAGAAAGTATTTTGCTAGCATTTTTTATATGAAAATTCTTCAAAATAACCTGATATTTTTTAAAATCCTATTATAATTACATCAGCCGACGGACTATCGTTGAATTTTGGTGTAATTTATTCAACCAATACTGTAGTAGTAGTACATTGGTATACCACCAGTCAGTGGCTTTAATTTATCCATGAAGAATCAGGCAGGCCCAGTGATTATATTTATAAATGATATATACCATTAATACATTGCAATTGGATATTATTAGTTATATTCAGTGAATCGATTACGTGAATCGGTATCCTTAGGTTGAGTGACGTGCCTGTCAAAAAAGTGTCATTTAAGTGAGTGACGTCATGACGTGTTCTATGAAACGTGCAGTTTATGCGTCGTTGTGGTGTTTATTTTGTGTTTTGTGTTTATTTAATTAATAAACAGGTATCTAGAGTCTGTGTTGGTGTTTAGTCGATAAAAATATCCTCACAAATAAAACTAACAAATCCAAACGAAAAAATGCCATACCAAGTATATTACGAAAACAATCTACTATCCCAGTTGAATTGTGCAACTGTATTCACTCTGAAAGAGACGATATCTCAAAAATGTGGTGTTCCTATAGAAGATTTGTCTGCTACCGTTCATGGGAAGCTTGTTACAGACGATTTCGACTTGAGAATATTCGATAATGTAATCAGAGTGTGTCCTCGTCTGAGAGGTGGTAAAGGGGGTTTTGGTTCTATGCTTCGTGCTATTGGAGCCCAAATTGAGAAAACCACAAATCGTGAAGCCTGTCGTGATTTATCAGGTCGTCGTTTACGTGATATAAACGAAGAAAAAAGGCTTAGGAAGTGGTTGGAAGGCCAAGAAGAGCGCGAAAGAGAGGCTGCTGATCGCAAACAGAAGAAAATCGAGAGATTATTGGCCGAGCCCAAGATTGATGTCAATTTGAATCCAGTGTATGAAAAAGTTCGTCAAGAGCTGCCTGAGAGGGTGAGTGCAGCTGTGGATGCAGGTTGGCAAGCTGCAGGTACGAGCAGTGAAGCTGGTATCAAACGAAAAATAGACGATGATAAGCCTGCAGGGAAGAAAAAGGCTAAGCTATGGATAGATGCTGAGTTGTCGGACTGCTCATCCTTAAGTGATGATGAAGATGAAGAAGAATCAAATCGGCTTCAAGTACAAACTGTATCAACTGACAGTGGGAATGAGTCTGATCGAACATCGGAAGCTAGCAATAAAGTGTGATCAGTGTTTACAAGTCTTAATTGAAATATATTCCTCTATAATCTTCACAAATGTATCTATATTCATTGCATTCATAAATTGATTGTAACAATCTTAAGAAGCTATCAATACAGTAATGTACTTTGAAATTTGCAAAATCACTTATTTTAGATTTCTCTGTGATGTAGGGAGTATTTGTATTAAAATGTCCAATATGGACAAATTTAATATTGCACCAAAAACACTGAAATAAATAAATTTCCTTTAGTTCGGCCAACAGAACTGTTCAACAGAACTAGTGAGAATAATGAGAATTCTTTACTAGATATGGTGTCATATCTGATGTATGTGTTTATAAAACAATATTTATCAAACATAACTTGTTTACTCCACTTATGTGTAATATCGATAAACTTGTGAAAGTTCCTTTCATTATGTTGAAAGTTTATTTCGTTCATTTCATTGTTATTGAAGCAGTAAAATAAATGTTTCTCCTATGTGTAAAATAAAAGTGGAGGAATTTAACAATTCCCATCATATAATACTTAATATGGGGTAATTCCAAAGGTGTTCATGGAAGATGTTTACTATAGCAATCCACGATTTTATTAATGACCATTTAGAGATATAAGTTTCTGCATTTTAATTTTCTGGAAATAAGTTTTCTAAAATTTTTTCTAATAATTTCTAATAGCAGCAAATTGTTGGTCACTTAATCGAACCGGTTGAGTCACATTCAGCAATAAAAAATTCCGATCCAATTGTTGAACTTTAAATTGTAAATATGTAATGCTAATATTTTACCTAACTTATTATGTAAAATAATAAAATTAGTTTATCCAGCTTCGTTTTTTATTCTATGAAAATATGAAGTTAAGTTGTAATTGCACCACCAGCCACCAAAGGTTCAAACCCAAGATAAAAACCTTAATCACTGATAAAACATGATTATTATTTAAAAAACATTGGCAATGGGAAGGAGATGATATTGATAGAATACCACAGATTTAACACCTTCCCCTTTAACATGACCACCGAAACGGGATATGATAAATTGTTAAATAGGCATTAACTGTCAGACTATTGTCAAACTCTCCTTCTGTCTGACAGTTAATGCCTTTAAATCGCTTTATCATATCTCGTTTCAGTGGTCATGCTAGTACAGGGGCGGATCTGGGGGCCATTCGTCTAACGGAAATGCTATGGAAAACGCTAACGCTTACGATTTCATTTTGTTATTTCTAGCCGCCTGAGGTTTTCAAATGCCTCGCGCTCTTTTTTTTCTTTTGCATTGGTAATAACAATATTAAAAAAAAGGAGCGTGAGGTATTGGAAAACCTTCGGCGGTCAGAAATAACAAAATAAAATCGAAAGCGTTAGCGTTTTCCAAAGCATTTCCGTTTGGCGAATGGCCCCCTGATTGAATAATTAAGAGAGCTAGTGCAAAGTGAAATTTTCGCTCGAATCGGTTGACATGTCTGGAGAAGTAACCTCCAGCTTACAGGAGACCACAGTAAAATGATACTACCTTTCAGTGATGTTGTGTTTCTGTCGGTACGGTTTCACGGAGTGGGGGATGGGATAGGGTAGTCAACGGTGTGAATGATATTTTTGGTATCGATAGCATCTACAGGCTTACCATCAGGCGAGCCATACAGATGTTGGTCAACCTTTTATTTTAACATAAAAAAAGTTAAGAATTTTCGCAGAAGCCAGACAAAGTTTACCATCCCATACTCCTCTGTGCTTTGGATGACTAGTTAAGCAGTTGGTCCCGGCGGCGTCTGCAGTCCTTCCTTAGCACCCAACCACGTGGCCCATCGCCTAACGAAAATGCTATGGCTATCGCTACCGCCCACGATATCATTTTTCTATTTATGACATCGTAAGCGATAGCGATAGCCATAGCAACCCCGTTAGGCAATTGATCCCTTGCACTGGCCCCCACGATGGGTCGATTATAGTCGGTTATCTTTACTTCGTCATTAAAGTCTGTATGTGGGGTACATATAGCAGTAAGAATTTTAAAGACCGTCTGCTAGGCACGTGTTCACAGAATGCCATAACCTGCGAGCCGAGGGACCGTGAGAGGTCCTTGGTCATAAGAAATGCGTCTGGTGTCAGTATTGTCTGGTTGTTAGTGAGTAAGGCCTCAACCCCATAGGCGCGTTTTTATTAGACGATAAAATACGAATGCGTTATTGCGTCAACGCGCCCGACTTCTATTGCGTCGTCGTTATTATTGTAGCAGTGTGTAACTTTGTAGCATTCTTTATGTACTATCTATCTATCTATCGTCTGTACCACGGCGAGTGTTCTGAGGAGTTATTCTCTCTTATTCCACCTTCCCCTTTCCTTCAGAGGACCACGCGCGCTGGCTTACGCTGTCACCGTTTAACTGTGGCCACAATTCCAACGCGTACAAAGAAATTTGGTGACTCATTTCTTTGTCGCACAATCCGTAAATAGAATGCTCAGCCCGCTCACGTGTTCCCTCCTTTTTACAATCTGGGATCCTTGAAAAGCGACGTGAAGAAGCATTTCTATATGCCAGCAAGGTGAGGATGGTTGGTGTGACAGTTTCTAACTGCTGTACCAGATATCCACGCGTCTGGACTTTACCACCACTTGACATCAGGTGCGGAAGAGTCATTTGGCTACCTAGCTATAAAAAAAGAGACATTATACGCTGATGATTGTTGATGGCTATTTATAGATGTTCGGCTGGAGGGTTGTACTGCTACTGTCACTGCTGGCTCTGGTGGTGGCCAGACCTCAGGAGTTCGATGATGAAGAAGACGGACCGGGGTCTGCACCGGACAAAAGGGGTAAGCATAGTAAAATGCATCCAAATACGACCGCTCCTTTGTTTAGTGCAATGGTAGTAGAGTTTCCCACTTCTACCACAAGGGTTCGAACCCTGGTCCTCCACCAGCCATTAATTACCATTTTTTTTAATCTGTCGTAAAAGAATATTGGCGCCCGAGTTATGGTTGTTTACTCACAGGGCCGGATTTAAAGCACGGCAGGTGGGGGCGTTGCCCCAGGTCTCTCCACAACAGAGGGGCAAATCGTGTCATATTTTAAAATATCATTTGGGCCCCTGCCCCAGAGCTTCCACATCTCTAAATCCGGCCCTGTATAATATTTTATTACGACCTATGTGGTTGAGTGATATGGGTTCGAAACCCGGGAGTATGATCCAAAAATTTCACAACCTCTGTGTGCAAAATGTGCTTTCTTCACATAGGTTATATTAATAATGTCATATGTTATGTAATATGTTATCCTTTTAACATATAAAACCCCCCACCCCTAGAGTTAGTAAACCTAAACAAAATATAGATATAACGAATGCTTTTATGTGGCTTGTGCTGCCTTTCGCAGCTCTTGCAGCCGCCCCTTACAGCCTACCCCCCAGGTAGGGTTACCATTCGCCAAACCTGATAGCCGGACAGCCCAGCCAGTTAGGTCGGACATTTGAGTAAAAAGGCCGGACACCGTACTTTATTAAGGACTTGAGACTCCGTAATATTAGGTAGGACAGAAAATTTTATGTAAAAATAGTCAAGTCACGGCGGTACGACTCTGGAATGACTTGCCCCCCAATATACGTAAAGCTCCTAACAAACTTGCATTTAGGGGATTGGTTCGTGAGCACTATCTCAATAGCATTAAACAGCATTCTCATATATGACTGACATAATCGTATACTTATGTATGTATTGTAAGTATGTATGTATATGTGTGTATCTATGTGTATATATATATATATGTATGTATGTGTGTATTCTGTTAAGAGTATTTGTATCCTTGGTTTATCTTACATTTGTCTTTATTGCGCCCCCGTCATATTAGTTTTATCTCACGCTCTCACTGGTCGACTGGTAGAGAATGCCTTATGGCATTATGTCCGCCATTTGCTGTGTTATGTTGCAATAAAGTTTAAATATATAAATAAATAAAATAAATAAGTCGTTTGCGCTCGGCACTCGCTCGTTTGCGGAATGTAAAAAGCTGCCGGACATGCCGGACATCGTTTATTTTAACCGGATTCACAATCAAATAGCCTATGTCCGGCTTTATCTGGATGTGTGGCAACGCTACCCCCAGGCCATGGGCTATTTCTTGTCCCTAGGATATTTTTTATTTATTTATTTATTATTTATAAATTACGCCATTGGATGAATTACTTTATCTGGTGCTGAAAATTGTATTAAAATCTGTTGCATTTATTTATATTTATTAATGGGTAAGCTCTTGGATTCTCCATCCAAGATGGGATCCATCATGTAGCGAGAACGAGCTTACACAGAAGGAGCCTATTCATTCTAGCTTTAAAAAGAGTCAGATTATGATGTTGGTACCTACTCGAAAATACATTCGCAGGCAGGTATAATGCGATTCAATTAAGAATAGGAAAGCCAATGACCTCCATCTGTCAAATGACGTTTGAAAAGTACGGTTTGCAAAAAATCTTGGAACTCTTTTTTAGCACTCGGCTAATTCTAGAATAAAAAAACCAAACATTTGTAAACAAACATGACGAGGATGACAACTTCGGTAGTTATGCAGAGCTGAGCGGAATTGAAGAGCTAGATTCCGATTAATATTTTCACTCACACAGTCATAAATGTTATTAAAAATCGGTAGTTTTTTTTCCTCAATCTTAGTAAATAAATTTTATTAATAAAATCTGATGTTTTTCTCACGTAATCTTAGTAAATAAGTTTTATTTAAAAAAACCTGATGTTTTTTCTCACTTAATCTTAGTAAATAAGTTCTATCAAAGAAAAACTTTTATTGCTCACTCTACCTATTTTGATTCAATTGACAGCTTTGACATCACAAAATGGCGCCCAGTCGATCCTATTCTTAGTTGAATCGCATTATAATTCCACTCGCGTAGTTTCAAATATTGAATGTACACACAGCAAGAGCGACTTTGTTTTAAACTATTTAAAGATATAGGTAAATAGGTAAGTACATAGATTGAATGATTGTTCCAGATGACATCGCCAGAGTTCAAATCAAGGTGTACAGAGGCCCAACGAAGAACGACGGCTATGCGCCGTGGGGATTCTGGGTGAAACAGCCATCAGACGACGAGTGAACAGATGAACTCCTCGAGAAACGACTTTAAATCATCCTAACATTTCGAATATAATGTCGGGAGTTTCATTAATTACGATTACGACCTTGTTTTAAGTATCCACAGTTCATTGTTTAACTTTATTGTTGTTGTTAATTTAGTTTGTAAGCGTTTTTGTTTTTTTACAATAAAAAAAACCAAAGATTAATGATAAATGTTATTTTTATTTTATCAACGACAGCAGGGTGACTCTTTGTCTTTTCCTGCTTCCCCGCCATTCTTTTATTCGAAATTCTTCATATATGTCTGAACAAACGGTTGTTGTGTTAATAGGCTAGTTGACTCATGTCGAATTGTATTAAATAAATGTTTATTTCTTAAAGTATTTGGTCTAAGGAACATAAATATATCGATTTCACTTCATAAAAACAGAAGATTGCTGTAGAAATTTAATTAAAAAAAAAAATTTAGTCTATATTTTAAACACTAAAAACGCTGTTTGCCACATCCGCCATGATTGTGACGTCTCTTGTTGTAGTAAACAACTAAATGTCATTCGTGTGTTACTGTGGGTGGATTCTTTCGTCTGACTAAATTTATCTTAAAACACTTTTTAACTTTGGAAAAGTTTCCGTTTACTGTTTTTTTGATAAAACTAATTATGGATGCCGGCTTTGTGAAAGCAGAAAGTACAAATCTGCCAAGAATTGACGCATTAATGGTTGGTGAATTTTTTGCACTAAACCCCGATTTCTGCTCTGCGGAGCAGAGAAACAACAAGGCATCTATGTAAGTACAGCGCATTTAGTATTACAATGTAGTAATAAACATAAAACTGATACAACATATGAATAAGTGTAATAAAGTTGCGTAGGTTAATTTCTTTCGGCACTTTAATCCAGAACTTTCCTGGAGTCTTCAAGGATATGTTTTTATATTCTCGTACAATACAATAATGATACTTTTTCGCGGTATTTATTAGAAATCATGTTTTTTTTTATTATAAACTCAGATAAGTTATTTTATTCGTGCTTACGAGTTTTTGTTAACTACAGGTTGACGTCATAGTATAGATAATCTATAGACTAAAATGGCCGACAAAGTTTTTGTATGTCCATGAAAAGTCTATTTTAAAATTAAAGAATTGTAGCTTTCTAGGTCACAAAAAAATACAATACATTTTTTTTTCGGTCTAATAGAACGTTTATTAACCGTTTAAAACCTTATTCCAAAAAGGGTCAACTAGCCTATTGTCTTTCACCTTCCGCACCTACTCTCTTTCTTGCTTCCTAATTACAAACCGCAGTCTGATAGCGTTACTTCTCGAATTTTACGTAACACTCATCTCGATTGCGTTTATTTTACATTCACGCTTTTTTGGCCTTAGGATTTCACTGCCGAAAAGCTTTCCCAATGTTCCATTCATTCTATTTCATGGACGCACTCTTCTCTCATATCAATGGTGGGTTCCACCAACGCTAAAAACACATCCAAGATATACGATAGCATTGTTTCTACAATAGCAATAATCAAAATCGTGATATTTATTTGTATTGATTTCTTAAGGGATATTCTGCGTAGTTGTGGTAAATAATTAAATGTATTTAAGATAAAATAGACTATAATGAACTCAAAATCGGAGAGAGAACGAAAGTACGTTGGCAGTGACAAGTGACAATGGCGCCACACGCAAAAACTAATTTGGTTGCGTTCGTTTCATTTTACACTAACAATTTGTTATTTTCTAATCCATTATCAATATTATCATAATTTTCTTATTTTTTTCTTTTAAATCCTTGTCATTGTTGTTGTGCATTCAATACTTCCCGTTATCGCATTTCAAATGTTATAGGCTATTGTGGCTGTACTTTTCACCGAAAATTTAATAACATTTTTAACAGCTGACTCGCTGAAGGTCGTTGAATCACTTGGGACAGAATATTGTGTTAACGATATACGTTTTCATGCCATCCTATATGTTTGTTGAACATCGCACGTTTAAATTATAAGCGACTGCAATGTTTGTTTACTTAGTTATGTGACTCCATAGTTAGGTACCTACAATGTGGGCGCTATAATGTAACTTTTTCCGAATATTTAATATAGTGAAGTGAAATTTTTTCGTTCGTCTTTTATGATCATCATCAGCCTATTAATGTCCCCAATACTGGTGCACAGGCCTTCCCTTTGGATGGAATAGGGAGATTGGGCCATGACCCATCACGCGGGCCCAGTACGGATTGGTGGGTGCTAACGACTGCAGATGCAGCCGGGACTAGCTAAACGTGCTTTCCGAAGCACGGAGGAGCTAGTAAATTTTTGGTCACCCATCCAATGACCGACCACTTCGAAAGTTTCTTAACTTCAACGATCGCAGCCGAACGCGCTAACCACTTGAGCCATCGAGCTCATCGCCTTTAGCATGTCGCATTACAGTTTTGATTGTTATTAAAAATTTCAGACTTTTATGTTAGCAGATATTTTTATGCATTGACTTTTATGTAGACAGATAAATTTTGGGCACCGATCTAATGATTGGGCATTGAGAACTAATTCATTATTTCAACAAGCACAGATTAAACGTGAAGTAATAACTGCGTCTCGTTAAGTAATTTGATGATGATAATGTCAATCCATTATTCAAAAAATGTTGTTTATTCAGTAGTAAAAGGTATATTTAAGCATATGAAGCTTACTTTAACTTTCTATTCGAAGTCAGGATAAAATATGGGCGTCACATGAGGATATACTAAATTACCATGGTATTTTGTTTACTTCAGAAAATTTTCAGAATTATTAATTGATTATTCAAATAGAAATAATCAAGCCGAATTTTCTCGGTATTTTTTATTCTGATTTGAATTGATTTCTGACGAGTATTTTCCAAAAAGGTAGGCAAACGTAATTGATCTTAACTTTTATCTTTTTCTTTTCCAATTTTTATCAATTTGAAAACATGATGATGTTTGTTTTTTTGATATACCTAATCAAAATTTTAGAAAAAATCACCAGATAAAATATGGGATTCAGGAATTCTGGACGGTATTTTGGTACTGAATTATGGACACTTGAAATTGATTCATTAGTAAATAGTATTTAAATTACTGTACAGATTTTATTTATTTATTTATTTACTAATTTAGTACACACACAATAAAACAGATAAATAGAACAAGAACAAGAAATTTGTACAAGAGCACTGCTTATTTCATATTGAAATTTCTTTCAGCAGGCCCGCGAAAGGAAAGAACATAAAAAACATTCAGAAACAGTGATTCAAGAGGATAAATAGTGTTCCTTCAACCGTTTTTTGAATGTAGCAACAGTTGGGCTGTCTCTGATTCCTGCTGGCAGCGAGTTCCACAAACGGACGGCATGTACCGTAAAGGAGCATGATGCAAATTGGGTTTTATGCACAGGACATTTGAGTAGTGATTTGAGATGGGACCTGCAAGGAACATTAGGCGAGTGGGTGAAAGAAAACCGCTCCCGAAGATAGGAAGGATATGAAGGATTATATAGGATATTGAGGAGGAGACAAAGGATTCTGACATTCCTGCGCAGACGTATGGGGAGCCACTTGAGTTCTTTTCGAAAGTTGGAGACGTGATCATACTTACGAAGCCCAAAGGTAAATCGGATAGCAAGATTCTGCAGGCGCTCAAGTTTATTAAGTAATACCTCCGTAGCGTCTAAATAACAAGTATCGGCATAGTCGAGAAGTGGAAGAATAAGAGATTGTGCAAGGGCAATTTTAGTATGTAAGGGAAGGAAATTTTGCAAACATTTTAACGTGTGAAGCGAAAAATACATTTTACATTAATAACTAAATAATAATGATATCGAAGTTTGTCTCGTTCAACTGCAGGGGTATAAAGCGTACATATTTACACGTTAGAGATCTATGTAAAAACTGCGATATAATAGCATTGCAAGAACACTGGTTGATACCAGAAGAAATAGACTTCTTAAACAACATTCACCCGGATTTTGCATATCATGGAACATCGGCGGTGGATACGACAGCGAACATTTTGAGAGGGCGGCCCTATGGAGGGGTAGCCCTTCTGTGGAAAAAATCTTTGTTTACATGTGTGACGCCAATTGAAACCGGATCGTCGAGAGTAGTCGCCGTGCGCGTGAGCATCAGAGAAGCAGCACAGGAGCAGCGTAGTTTCATCGTCATGTCGGTATATATGCCGACACAGCATCCGGACAACATCCCACTATTTACAGAGTGTCTAGCGATTATAAGTGCAGTAATCGAAAATAACTGTGATGAAAATGTTGTGTGTCTCGGCGACTACAATGCGGACTTAACAAAATCGAACAGTATTTTTGGACGTGAGTTGATGAGTTACTGCGAGGAACAGAACTGGGTATGTGTTGATATCTCATTATTGGGACTAGCGACCAAGACTTATACGTATCAAAGTGACTCTCATAGTTCTCATAGCTGGATAGATCACTGTTTAGTGACTGATTCTGCAAGTCGTTTGTTCACGAGTGCATATGTAATAAATGATGTATTTTTGTCAGATCATTTTCCCCTTGTAGTCGAGTTTAATATAGAAAGTGTAATTAGTAAAATAGATAATGCAAGCGATGTGTGTGTGAACAGGGTGTTATGAGGCACTAGAAATTTTGAACAAACTCGTCGATATACTGAATTGATTGAAAAATGCATAAAGAGCTGTAGTCGTCTCATGACGCTCGGTTCGCGCAACATATCGCATTGTGAACATAAGCAGTTCATTGAAAACCTGTACAATGACATTACGGGCTGTATGGCGAGGGCGGCTGTACAGTCTTATGTAGGGAAGTTAAGGAAAAAACAGAAGCAAGTAGCTGGATGGAACCATCATATCAGTTCTAGTCACCAAATTGCAAGACAGGCATATCAAACCTGGATTTTCTATGGCCGTCCTACTCATGGTAGGGTATATGATGCTATGTATAACGCACGTAAAACTTTTAAGAACAAATTAAAATGGTGCCAGCGCAATGAAAATAAAATAAAAGCAGATATAATGGCTATGTATAGATCAAAAAATGATTTTTATAACTTTTGGAAAGAAACAAACAAACTTAAATATAAATCAAATTTGCCTATGTCAATTAATGGTAGTTGTAATCAAGCAGAAATAGCTAATATGTTTATAACTAAATTTAAACTAGTGAAACCGGTTATTTGTAAGCAGCGCTCATATGCTCAGCCGCCACTCGAGGCGTCGCCGGCACGGGGGCGGTGGGGGACGGGAGAGGAGTCGCCGCGAACTGCTGTTGTTGTATCGCGCGCTCACTCACACTCGCAAGCCGTTAGCAATGCATCTATCATGCAAATCACACCTGATCGGTTGTACAAAATAGTTAAGAACATGAAACGCGGCAAATCTCCCGGCCACGACGGCCTCAGCGTGGAGCATGTTTGGTATGGTGGGCCGTGCATCTTATGAATGCATGTATTGATTTTGGCTACTTACCGAATGAAATGATTAAAACAATTGTTGCGCCTATTATAAAGAATAGAACAGGGGATGCGTCTAGTATATAGAATTACCGGCCTATTTCTTTAGCAACAATTGTATCAAAAATCTTTGAAAGAATTATAAATGTATACCTAAACGAATCAAATATTATGTTAAACAGTGCCCAATTCGGTTTTAGAGAGGGTCTCTCAACTGACTTGGCAATATACGCTTTAAAAAACACTGTAAAATATTATCATAACAGAAACACTTCAATTTACTCTTGTTTCCTAGACCTTAGCAGTGCTTTTGATTCAATAGATTATAATTTACTGTGGCGTAAGTTGAGACAAACAAAAGTACCTACAAGAATAATTAATTTATTACAGTATTGGTACTCAAATCAAGAGAACCAAGTCAGATGGGGACAGTCCCTCTCTGTACCATATAAGCTTGAGTGCGGGGTTAGGCAGGGCGGACTAACCTCAACAGTTTTGTTTAATCTTTATATGAATGGTCTGCTGGAGGAGCTCAGCAGCACAAGAGTCGGTTGTCACATTGGCGGAGCATTTGTTAATAACTTAAGCTATGCGGACGATATGGTGCTACTGAGCCCCTCGGTGGCCGGCCTCCGTAAGCTGTTAGGTATCTGTGAAAAGTATGCGCATATGCATGGCCTTAAATACAACGTTAAGAAAAAGGAAGTAATGATTTTTAAAGCTGGTAGCGGCCCTAGATGCATCCCAGAAATAACATTATGTGGTAGTCCATTAACTATAGTTACCATGTTTAAATATTTGGGGCCTATAATAACCGACTCATTAAAAGACGATCATGACTTAGAAAGACAAAGGCGATCGCTTGCGATGCGTGCTAATATGCTTGCAAGGCGGTTTGCACACTGTTCCAAACAAGTAAAGATTACGTTGTTTAAGGCATACTGCCAGTCGTTTTACACCAGCCAATTATGGGAAAATTATACGAAGAATGTTTTTAATACTCTTCGTGTACAGTACAACAACGCCTTGAGGGCAATACTTGGTCTACCTTGGCGGTGCAGTGCGACTGGTATGTTCGCTGAGAACAACGTAACCGATATATATGTATTGTTAAATAGACTAAAGAAATCATTCCACAGGAGACTGTACGAGTCAAACAATAATATTATTGCATCATTAAACTCAACATTAACATATATCAACTTGGTAAAGTATATTTAATGTCACACACACTGTCTGTCATCTACATATCGCCAATGTTCGTAAAGTGCAATGAAAATTTTTAATAATGTATGTTAATTAATTAATTAGATTTATTTCATTCAATCTAATATGTAAAACTATGTCATATAGTTTTTTATTATATTATTTATTTTTATTAATATTCCTTTATTTCATTAAATATACATACAAAATCATATTTCTAAATATTAGTTTTTTACAGCGTATAACATTAAAAAAATAACATTTAAAAATACAAAAATGTAGTTCCCCATCGGCAGCAAGATCAGGGTCCCTGCTACCGGTGGTTAAGGATCCAGAGACAGGAACCTCCTCACAATACGGGCCGTGTCCAGAAGTACTGCCTTCTGCATCTGACTCTTGACCCAACCACCTAACGCGAGCCTCTTAAGGTGTTTATCGAGGCTCTTGGCTATCAAACCATGGGCAGATATGATTATCGGTACAACAATTGCTGAATCGATAATTATTAATATTATTGTTATTGTCTGAATTTAATTTAATTTGAATAATTGACGAATTGTGATACAATGATCTAATTTTAAGACAAAATTGGACAAAATGCAATTGTTATTGTAATTTTTAATATGGGTTACTGTGCCTGAAATAAACACTTATTATTATTATTATTATTATTATTTACGACTAACGTTAGCGACGTGAGCTGCCCATAAGAGGTTGGAATCAATTGTGACACCGAGATTTTTCACCGTATCACTATAAGGGATATTGATTCCACCTATGGATACTGGCGGCAAGTGAAAGGAACGGCAGGAGTTAGACATATACCTACTCCCTATGATGATTGCCTGTGATTTACTTGGATTAACTTAACCATAAAATTGTGCCCAAGTACTGATGCGGTTAAGGTCTTCATTAATGGCTGCTATCGTGGACTCCGTTTCATCAATATTGAAATGACGGTAAAGCTGCAAATCGTCTGCATAGAGATGGAACTTAGAGGAAATTACTCTAGTAACAGAGTTAATGAAATAGGCTTGTTGAAAATATATCGATGTATCGATATATCGATACAAAATAACCAATATCGAAATTCGTATCAAAAACGATATTTTTTTAATTATTAGCGGCATATCACGATCTAACTAAATTCGTATCTGGAAAAATCGTAACTGGATCTCAGATTAATGATATTCAACATATCTATGATCTGTGCTGTATTTAGTATTGTCTATTTCATCATTCGAAAATATTGTCTATTTTTAGGGAGATAATTTTCGTTCCATTATTATTGAAAATTGGTCCGATATATCGATGTTTTTTTCGCGATATATCGAAGCCGATATTGATATTTTTTAAAATATCGATGTATCGATATATCGATATTTTTTTCAACTTTCGACATCCCTATAATGAAAATGGAGAATAGGAGTGGTGAAAGAACACCTCCTTGAGGTACGCCGACACAGCGGTCACACCCATCTGAGGTTGAATCATTAAGGCGAACACACTGCGAGCGACCCCGAAGATATGATATTTTTTCTTCTTTTTTCACCAGAAAAAAGCAATAATATTGCTGATTGATATAGTTGAATTTACAAAATTAATTTGATATCGTAAAATCAATTTTTAACATTGGAACTGGGGCGGTTTTCTAGTTTATCATATTAAGCGTCTTTGCAATGTTACGTTTTAGCGACCCCGTTTTATAAAGCGGTAGGCTGGCGCTCCAGTGGTAGATGCAGGCAATGGGATTACAATTTTCATATTTCAAAGACGTAGAAATCGAATATGTCACATATTTAATAAACCTAATCTTTCCTTTTCTGCATATTTCTGTTTAAGATAAAAGAAGCACTCCCATTAAATTAAATTAACGGATTACACCTCAGGAGGATGCAATTAAAATGTATGAAAAACCGAGAGTGCTTATGACCACACGACTGAAGTGAAAATTCTTTAGCTCCATCTGTATATAAAGGTATAGATATATGTGTGTTAAATATATACATGTATGTGCATATACATATTTCATTTACTAGCTATAAGAGAAAGAGAGAAAGAAAATCTGCGCAGTATACTTTCTGTGTCTCATCTGACTAGGTTAGGTACTGCCAAACATGAAATAATGACGAAAAGCTATGTACGAACAAAGCTCGATATAGCTTTAGCTGTTGATGGAAGCGAAGCTAACACACTAGTATCTATGTTATAGATTACAAAGTGGCGGAGACATGGCTAGTTCAAAGTGAGGCTAACTTAAACAATGGCTCTCGTGTCCGGATTCCACCATGAGGAGTAAATCGTTCAGGTTGTGTGTAGGTAAGGGCTATTACCATTTTCTCAGGCATATCTTACGAATTCTGAATAACAACATCAGCACCGCAAGACTTCGATTTTATCTAAAATCTTATTTTATGAAAATTTACAGCGTCTTTATTTTTATCTAGCACCCTCCAGATGCGAAAGCTGTGCTTTTTTCTACAATAATGTAAAATTTCTTCTTGTCAATTCGGTGCCCTCTGTAAGCTGAGATGGCTAAACACAAGTAAATATTACCACTTGCATCATTTAAAAAAATATGGATTTATAATGTAAAAAACTCCAGGGGCAGTGGTACTTTTTTTTAATGTGTATGCTGCTGGTCGCAGATGACCTTTGAGGAAGGCGATATCCTAAAGGACCTCAAGCCTAGAATTGGCGAGTGCCTCTAGGGCAGTGTTTCCTAACCTTTCCAATACTGCTACCCCTGTAACCTATTAGGAAAACAGATTTTACCCCGACTTTAAAATATTATCATCAGTCCAAGAAATTCCAATTTGGCCGCTATCTTCGTCTCTACTAATGTCATCATCAGGAGGAAATCTCACTCCGCTTCCCACACTCAGCACCCCGCGGGCTTACTAGCAAGAAGGAGCGCATGCTCTATTTAGTAGTATTATTTAGATACGACCAAATAATTAGGTTCTTTATTACCCCCGAAGTATGACTGATTTACCCCCGGAGGGGTAATTACCCACAGGTTCGGAACCCAGGCTCTAGGGGTATTCCAGGCGGATGACATCTCCCCTCGGGGGGATTCGGAGCCTCTAGACCACTCAAACCTGAGGGGGTATGTGGTAGTTATAATCCGCTAAATACTGCATTGCAAGTATTCTTGTTGTCACTTTCTTACCCGGGGTCCTATAATATACGCTTGTAGAAGACGTAACTTGCTGCATTCTCTTAACGTATCTCCATCAGTGATTGAGTGGTTTCACAGTTATCTGTATGGGCGCAGGCAGCGCGTTTGCCTCGAGGAGAAATTTTCTTCATGGAGCGACGCGACTGCTGGTGTTCCTCAAGGCGGCGTCTTATCTCCTCTTCTTTTCGCTATCTTAATCAACTCTGTTTAAATAATATTTCTTCTTCCTACCACCTATATGCAGATGACCTCCAAATCTATCGCCAAGCATCACTTGGTCAACTTGGAGATGCGGTGCGAGCTACTAATACCGATCTACTTACGATTTCAGAGTGGAGCAAATCCTTTGGATTAGAATTGAATCCCTCCAAGACTACTAGCATAATAGTAGGTAGTTCTAGGATGATAGATAGAGTAGACTGGTAGTCAATACCCAGTATCCAACTGGCTGGTAATAATGTTCCTTTTAGCGCGTCGGTAAAAAACTTGGGGTTAACATTCGACAACTATTTGAGCTGGGGTCCACAGATGCAAGTGGTTAGCCGCAAATTGTTTGCCTCAGCTGCGTCACTTAGGAGACTACGTAATTTCCTACCCATCACTACCAAAATTACCTTAGCACAGTCTCTGTTGCTACCCATTCTTGATTATGCTGACGTCTGCTATCTTGATCTTACGGAGGACCAGCTAAATAAGCTTGAGCGACTTCAAAACTTTTGTATCCGCTTCATATTTGGCTTGCGCAAATATGATCACGTTTCTCAATTTCGTTCGCAGCTCAAGTGGCTACCTATTCGTCTTCGCCGGAATACTCATATTCTTGCTCTCCTTTACAACATATTGTTCAATCCTAAGTCCCCGCGCTATCTTAAGGAATGTTTTAATTTCCTTCATACTTCTAACACGTTATCCCTTAGGTCATCAGAAAATCTTACTCTCATGACTCCTGTACACGGCACATCTTTTTATAGCCGTTCGTTTGCAGTACGTGCCGTATATCTGTGGAACTCTCTCCCACTTACCATAAGACGTGCGGAATCCATTCACGCTTTTAAAAACCTTGTTAAGTCCTATTATCTGTCCATATAAAACTTTCGATTATATTCTTTTTGTGATTACTACCTTCTGAACTAGATTTGTTTATTGTTGTGTATGTATCTATTTATTTTATATATGAGTATATATATATATATATATTATATTTTTATTAATATGTATGTATTTATTATTACCTATTTCACTCAAGTGATTTACACCGCCTTCTCTCCAACTTCCTTCTAGTCCTCTCCATCCAAAGGTTGCCTGGAAGAGATCGCTCTTAGCGATAAGGCCGCCCATTGATACACTAGTTTTAATTTGTTTTGTACTAAATGTAATGTTTTTTGTGGTGTACAATAAAGTGTTTTGTATTGTATTGTATTGTATTGTAACTTGAAGGCCGGCAATGATAATGGCAGGTGTGATGGTAAAAGTCTAACAGTTCCACCAGCTTGACTGGACGTTGCTACGGTGGAAGCTTGATCAGATGCAGTGGCCGCGTCGTTTGCTCGGAGTTGTGTTAAAAAGAAACTTGTATTCAATATTCTATTTCATAAGGCCCAATGCTTCAAAGGAGGCGCAAAAAACTTCTTCATCTTCTTGTAGCCTGGTAAAAGGAGTATGGCTGGTGTTGTTTACAAATATAATGCGCTAGCTGTCTTCGCGACAGGACTGCGCTTTCACTCACTGTCGGATTTAGGGGAGGGCAACCGAGGCGAAAGTCCCGGGGCCTCCACAAACGGGGGGCCCGCACAATAGAGACTTCGGAAAAAAAATCTTTCAAATTCCAACTAGTAAACACTAGGAAACATCTTTTCCTTTGATATTTTTTTTTGTTTTTTTACCTTTGCCTATAGCCTACACTACTTTGTACATCTAACATACATGATTATTTGATTATATTAATCTTAAATAACAGAAAAATTTGGGGTGAGGGGGCCTCCGCTCCTCTGTTGCCCCGAGGCCTCTGGACCTCTAAATCCGGCCCTGCTTTCACTTGACATAAGGGGTGGTGAATTTGTTCATAAATATTTCATCGTATCAGGAATATTTTTTAAGATCTTAAATTTTTATGGCCATCCTTTGTCAGTCTTGTCATTGTTTTGAAAATAAACCCTTTGGTACATCTTATTATAGGTTTTTCAAGAGAGGTAAGAGCACAACGGATTCACCACTCAAATGGGAGCGCCCGTCTGGGGAAGCAATCTTACCTTACAGAAGACTACAGAAAAATAACACTACCTTATGGTGTTCAAAGGGTGTGATAAAGTCCAAACGCGAAGATAGCTACTTTCTAGTACAGCAGTTATAAACTGCCACACCAACCGTCTTCACCTTGCCGGCCTGCAAAAATGCTTCTTCACGTCTCTCTTATAGGACCCCAGATTGTAGGAAGGGACACGTGCGTGGGCAAAGAATTTCTCTTACGAATAGTACGACAAAGAAATAAGTCACAAAACTTTGTTTTTGTAGGAATAGAGGCCACATTTTGCCTCATTATCTATCTTTGCGACTAGATACTACTGACACTTAACATCAGCTGCAGGCCAATCGCGCAATTCATTATTGTGAAGGATCCGCCAAATTTCCATTATGGTTCAATTCTAATTGCACTTCAACTTTATACGAAATGGATATCGCGTTAATTTTCACGTGCCAAAAATCTAATTTGTTTTTGTCTGAAGTTCACTAGAGTACGGTCCAATCGTGATAAGTTTACATCTACTACTAGCTGTCAAAACATTAGCGCGATACGAAATGTCATAAAAAGTTGCGGTTCGTTTACGGTTCAATGCGTTTCAGTTGTTGGCATTTAGCGCGATGCAGTGGCGGCGCTAGGCGTCGGCGACGTCGGCCACCGCCGACGGCCTCGCGCCTGAGGGGGCCTCGCAAAAAATTTTTACAAGTTACCTATTTATTTTCGTTTCTCTGGCCTGACTTAGGTAGCCGACCCCGAACAATTCGTGTAAAAAGCTAAGCAGATGATAATGACTTTTATTATTTTCGAACACGTGCGTGATGGAAGCGAGTAGTACTTTACGGGTGTTCAGAATCGTCTGTCTGGCAACACTATTTTTGTAATTAAATTTCTATGTTTGTAATTATTTCTTGTCATCATTTGATTATCAACAATAAAACTCCTTTACTCATACGTTATTTTATAATTTGGCTCACTTAATTTAACGGTTTTTTACTGCGAATTAAAATAGGCCTCGCGAACTTGATGTCGCCGACGTCCACATGTGGTCTAGCGCCGCCAGCGCGATGTACAAAAAAGAATCTAAGCACTTCATTGTGCAAAAACATGCCCTAGTGTTGCATCCTCGCCAATCGAGTATTAAGATAATCCGGTACTCTTAATTTTCCCAGGAAGGCGTTCCCACAGCTTACCCGTGGTCTTGCTGCTGGTGTTGATCGTGGTCGTGACCACGAGGCTGTGGCTCGTAGAGATGATCCGCTCATCTCTGCAAACACAAAGGTGGAATCACGACCTGCAGCACTTGAGGAGGAGCAGGAACTTGAAGCAGTATTTGCAGAACATGTGCGGATACAAAAAGATTATTTTTAGACATTAGCATTAAATACAAAGAAACAGTGGGTTTAATTTTGACATGATGCTCTAAAACCTAATCTTAATTTTAAAAACAGTTTATCTTTGTCATGTTGTATGAAGAATCAAAAGGATAGACTTTTGTTTTAAGTTTAGAGAATCATGCCAGCATCAGGTCCACCTCAGGCTCATAAATAATAGAGTGGCAGGCCTGCCACTCTCTTCTCACACCAGATGAAGAGAAAGGGGTCACATCAAAAACATAATAGGCTAGTTTACTCACGTCGAATTGTATTAAATAAATGTTTATTTCTTAAAGTGCTTAGTCTAAGGAACCTTAATATATCGATTTCACTGCATAAAAGCAGAAGATTGCTGAAGAAATTTAATTTTAAAAAATATTTTTAGTCTATATTTTTTAAACACTAAAAACGCTGTTCGCCACATTCGCCATGATTTTGACGTCTCTTGTGGTAAACAACTAAATGTCATTCGCTTGTTACTGTAGGTGGATTCTTTCGTCTGACTAAATTTATCTTAAAACACTTTTAACTTTAGGAAACAAAAAAACAGTAAACTTAGTTTTTTTTTGACTAAACAAATTATGGATGACGGCTTTGTGAAAGCAGAAAGCACAAATCTGCCAAGAATTGACTCATTGATGGTTGGTGAATTTGTTGCACTAAACCCCGATTTCTGCTCTGCGGAGCAGAGAAACGACAAGGCATCTATGTAAGTACAGTGCATTTAGTATTACAATGTAGTAATAAACATAAAACTGATACAACATATGAATAAGTGTAATAAAGTTGCGTAGGTTAATTTCTTTCGGCACTTTAATCCAGAACTTTCCTGGAGTCTTCAAGGATGTGTTTTTATATTCTCGTACAATACAGTAATGATAATTACTTTATTTTTCGTGGTATTTATTAGAAATCATGTTTTTTTTATTATAAGTTTCCTTCCTGAACTGAGTTCAGTTAAAAGTAATTTTCTACGTGTTTACGAGTTTTTGTTTACCACAGTTCACGTCATAGCATAGATAATCTATAGACTAAAATGGCCGACAGCGTTTTTGTATGTCCATGAAAAGGCTATTTTAAAATTAAAGATTTGTAGCTTTCTAGGTTTAAAAAAAATACAATACATTTTTTTTCGGTCTAATAGAACATTTATTAACCATTTAAAACCTTTTTCCAAAAAGAGTCAACTAGCCTATTGTGAAATAAAGAAAGCCAAGTTCAATATTATGGTTGTTGTTGATTGGTTTTACTCTTAGTGAACATTTTGAAATAATGTGTGTGGCCTTTGCTATCTAATATAATGTAGCAGCCATAGCCTAACATGCGCTCGAGAAAATAATGTTTGATCACCCATCCTACTGCAAGTCTTTGTGAAAGCCTACAGCCGTAGTTTTTTTGTAAATCTTGGGTGTATAAGGTTCGGGGTGGGTGACTCATAATTTATCGATCTTCCTAAATACAACAGGACTTGCGTCATTTTTACCATTTGAAACCAATTTAGATAAAATATAGTGCCTGATAGCCATGTAAAGCAAAACAAATAATATTACTTTATTTTAGTATTGTATTTTGTAATTATCTTTCCACCGGTAAGAAAGAAAAGGGGAAAAGATAGAGTAGTAAATAGGTAATATTGTCATAAATGGTACGAGGGAGTAAGTTGCGTCTCAGTATAGTCACTCATGACTGTGGAATTGGAACTGGTGAAATGAGAGATTCTTCTATCATCATATCAGCTGTTCAACATAGGCCTCCCCCATTGATTTCTACAAAGATCGGTCCTGCGCTACTTGTATCCATTGGCTTCCTGCGACATTCATAAGATCTTCGGTCCATCTTGATTTGTTTTCTATAGGATAATACCAGGACACCAACTTTCATATGTCTTTATATATTTTTTAAAGCATTTAATTGCTTCTTTTAAAATTTGTAGAGGTATTTATATATTAGGTAGTTTGACATTGTGGGTTACCTATAATACGAAGAGAAGGCCCGGCCATTAGAGCCGCCGTAGCATAATTGGTCAGTGCATCCGCCCGGACAGCGGAGGGTGCGGGTTCGAGTCCCGTCTGCTGCCTGGTTCACGTGGAATTTTATCTAGTAAAATTTTCTTTAGATTTCATACGCCTCTTCATAAATCTAGCCCCGATCCTAAGTGTCGCCGCACACGGGCCACACGCCACAACCACAAACGCCGCCACGAGAAGCTAGAAGCGGCTACTAAAGTGGCTGAAGCGCGCGACAGCGGCCGACTAAGGTAAGGGAGACAGAGGTGGGGAATCGCGCGAGTGACGTGTGGCGGCGTTTTGTATCGGCGCATTAAGTTGCCGGTGCGGGCCACGATTTGTAGCGTGTGGCGGCCAACGGCGTACCGTGTGTGGCGAGTCCATATAAAATGTATGAAAACTACAGGAAATATGCCGGTGGCGGTGTTTTGTGGTTGTGACCGGTGGCCCGTGTGCGGCGACACTAACACCCATATTCTTAGTCGTTTCCTCGAGATTTTTTCCACTCGACTCAACCTCATTCGAGGAAATTCGTATGCTTAGACAACAAAAATATCCTTCACTTGAGATATTCCTCACTCGAGTGGAGGTCGAGTCGAGGAATAGACTGTCAAACGCAAGGTAGCTCTCGACGTACCTTAAAGCTTCCTCGAGTGGTGTTTAAGGTGTTTTTAAGTTGTTTTTATCGAGAATTATGTCTGAATTTGAGATTATTGACGAATTGGTGGATTTTATTTTTTACGTATACGATGATGAACCATATAATCCGGCGCGACGGTATTTACGTGACGCCGCAAATCCTTTTGAGGTTTACGACAATGATTCGTTTCAAAGAAGATTTCGGTTTAGAGAGATACAGTCATACAAGTAATATTTCCTCTGCTAAGCATTACACTAAATTGTAATAACAGAGGACTACCTGTACCGCCTATAATACAATTACTGGTGGCTTTGAAGTTTTACGTGACAGGATTATTTCAAGTAGGTATTTGTTTGTTGTGTGATATTTTAATTTACACATATAATATGTCTATGCTTTTATGCTTTATACCTTTGTTTGTACTCTCAGTGGAGGAATTCTCAAGATTGTTCAAGATACCAACTAGAATATCATATTCGAGGTTATTTGGAGGAACTCCATAAGGACCCTCGAATGAGTTAGAGTCGAGGAACGTTTGAGGACGCGACTAAGAATATGGGTGTAAGTGTTTCTAAAAATCTATTGTTGTATAAACTTATTTATACGACGCAGAGTACGAACAATATTCGTTTTTTGTAGCCTTGACTAGACTACTGTATACCGCTACGGTTTCATTATTGTGGATCCTTCGTAGACAGCTGCTGATCGAGCCTTCGTCCACCCGCTGCGAGGGTGCGGAGGAGGTGCCCCTACTAGTGATGGTGTCCAGCCCCCCCTCGCACCTGGAGCGGCGTGGAGCCATCCGCAACACGTGGGCGAAGCACCAACCCACGATCTTTTTCCTCGGAGTCGACGGCACGGATCGAGATCAAGTATTGGTTAGCGACTCTTTTTATGTATATGCAGGCAAACTGGCGCGTAGTCCATCTGATGGACCATGCGCCCATGTACACTTGCAAGCACCAAGAGCACTTATACGTAGCTGGCTCTATATTAAATTATAAAAAATAAAAAAAACGTTATTCTTTTGAACGAAAGAAGATTCTGGTGTTTGACTGCCCCGAAGAATTTTAGAGATTGCATAAAATTAATGATTTTCTATATTTCATCATCATCATCATCAGCCTATTAATGTCCCCACTGCTGGGGCCCAGGCCTCCCTATGGATGGAATAGGGAGATTGGGCCATGACCCACCACGCGGGCCCAGTGCGGATTGGCGGGTGCTAACCACTGCAGATGCAGCCGGGACCAACGGCTTAACGTGCCTTTGGTAGCACGGAGGAACTCGTGATAGAGGATTTTTGGTCACCCATCCAATTACCGACCACTGCGAAAGTTGCTTAACTTCAACGATCGCAGCCGAACGCGATAACCACCTTCGCCATCGAGCTCCTCAAGGACGGTATATCTATATTTATTTACACTTTATTGTAGCCGAGTTGTTGTTAGGAAGATTCAATGAAGTTGTAAGTAAGTAGGGGAACGGAAATGTGCTGGTCCGGTGCCCCCTACTGATACCTACCTTGGTGCACATCGATTCAAAACAGAAAACGTCGTAAAAATCCTCCCAAAAACTATATTTTCTCGCCACGCAGCCAAAACACGCAGTGACACATACGCATCCGCTAGCCTCATGCGACGCGGCTGAACATCGAGCGAATGGCGCTGTGTTATGCTCTGTTGCATTCACCAGTCACACACAAAAGCACACTTCCTGTCTTGCCCCGAGCTTCGTCTTGCCCCTGGTATCCCTTATTATGAATCCAATTTGATTTGAAAATGCCTGGCTTTGTCTTTGACTAACCATTATATTTTCCTACACTGTGTCCAATATATCCCGTGACATTGATAATGTCATTTGTTGATGCTAATGATACAAGTGCTTGTAACAGCCTAGACTGAATAAATGACTTTTCATTTCATTTCAATGCTTTAAGCTGTGTTCTCGGCTTGTTGAAAATATATCGATGTATCGATATATCGATATTTTTTGTTCGATATATCGATAAAAAATAACCAATATCGAAATTCGTATCAAAAACGATATTTTTTTAATTATTAGCGGCATATCACGATCTAACTAAATTCGTATCAGGAAAAATCGTAACTGGATCTCAGATTAATGATATACAACATATCTATGATCTGTGCGGTATTTAGTATTGTCTATGTCATCATTCGAAAATAGGGTCTATTTTTAGGGAGATAATTTTCGTTCCATTATTATTCCGCGTGTCATATTTCGTGAGCGATATTTTTGGGAAAATTGGTCCGATATATCGATGTTTTTTTCGCGACATATCGAAGCCGATATTGATATTTTTTAAAATATCGATGTATCGATATTTTTTTCAACTTTCGACATCCCTACTGTGTTCAGCTCGACCACTAACCACCCAGTTTTTGGTTCTGTATTTCATGTGATATAAAGTCGTAGTTGGAAGCTGTTTATAATTAAATTCTTCTTTTTGAAGTGAAAACTTCTTTAGCGGCGATGTGCACTTTTTTGTATGGGTAAAAAATGATAAACTCGCGTCATGACACGTGGGCTGATCGCATCACAGGCCACGTGTCCTGATCGTAAGACGAAAACAATTGGAAAGGTTGTTGACTTTCAATGTATTGGACGAAAAATAGTGATATTTTATTTTACCGTATTATAATAATGAGTCTCTATCTAGGACGTCCAGGTGGCAGCTTTATCGGTAATGCATTTTTTTTACAATAGATGTCGCTAGGTGCACTTCAATGTGATTCATGTAAGTTGATTTTTCTACAATAGATGTCGCTAAGTGCGCTTAGACGTGATTTATTTATCGAGATAAACTTTTTTAATGTTATATAAATAGTCATGTTTGTGTACGATAGCGCAATAAATAAATATTGTATTCTACCACATACATGATAGTACTTTTATACTGATAATTAAAGTAATTCGTGCAAAAATTATTCCCTAACCATTCCAAAATATCAAAAATGCACAACGTTAATATTCAAGTCACTTCTGTCGAGTGCAACCCGTCGTTTTTTTATTTCGAATTCCGTTCGTAATATGAAGTTTCCATTGTCCCATCTCCTCAGGTCGACACCTACATAGAAGCCAAGGAGTACGGAGACATGGTGGTGCTCGACTTCCTGGAGCACTACGACAACCTGACCCTGAAGACGGCGCTCATGCTGCAGTGGAGCCGGCGCCGATGTCCGACCGTCGGTGCTTTGCTCAAGACTGACGATGACGTGTTCTTGAATCCGTGGAGGTTGAAGGAGGTATTGAGGACGCATGAGAACAGTCCACTGATTGGTGAGATAGATTCTTTTAATTTTAAAAGAGTGGCAAACAAGCCTTAGGCCAGCCTGGTGGTAAGCAGCCACTATAATTATAATAATAATAATCTTTTATTTTGCCAAAATAGTGTACAATATTTAAACTTACTAATTACATAGTTTTTTTTTTCTTATAAGGTAGGTAATAGTAAAAAAAAAAAAATCTTAGGCATAAGAGTTTTCTGACATAGTCGCACTGAGCCCTAGCTAGATTATAAAATAATCTGTGTTAAGGGCAACAGTCCCGTTCCCTCGTCGTATCCTATAAAAAGTTAATTATAAAGGCACAAACACACAATATTACATGCACACACATACTTGAAGACCAAATAATTTAAGCCGTATTTATAAATGTGCATTTTTTACCGTAAACAAAAGTTGTGGTTGAGTGGTGGAAAATTTATTAATTACTTATATATCGGGTTTTTCTTTTATACAGGTAAGTACTTTAATTATATTTTTAGGACATGGAAGTTAGTAAGGTTTCAGTTTCGTCATATGACTATATACTATAGGTTATAGATGCTTCCGATATCAGAATATTACTCGCACCTTTGCCTACCACTTTTTTTTATCTTAATTTTTTGTTACTTGAAAGCAAAGGATGTTAAGTACATACAGCGTTTCAAGTAATATTTTTTTTACATGTCTTTTTTTTGTGTCACTAAACAGGTCATGCCAGAATAACAGTGCGACACAATGTCGCATCAGCTAATGCTGAAGCAGGGTCCTGGTTAGCCCTGAGTTTTTTTTAATTTGTATCTGTAAATGTGTAATATCTGTAATATGAGGGTTAATAAAATTATTTTCTATTCTATTCTATACCATGTCCCAAGCCCCTACCTAGTGGAGCACTAGAACCTTTCTTACCAACAGAAAACTACCCCCTTTCGGGCCGTTCAAGTATTACGTAAGCAGATTTTTTACAAATATTTACCCCCTCCTCCCTCTTGTCAGCAAAAGTAAGCAAAGCTCTTACTCCCCCATCATATGCTTACGTAAACATTGGTACTATGGAGTTCTACCCGGAAGGGATAGAACCTGGGGACTTATTAATTAAAAGATACTGGTAGAGGTAAGTTTTTTATTTTGTATTATCATTCAGGCGAATATAAAATATTTAATCTAAATACGAGAGGTTTTCTTGGTGCCTGAAGATCTAATAATGAATGGAATCTTCTATCAAAAGACAGACGATTCCTTATTTCAAATCTTAAAATCATGATATTAACTTTTTAATATAACTGCCAACCGTAGGCATTGCAAAAGCAAAGAGTTTACCTAAACAAGGAGGTTGTAACATCACGGACGTTACAGTACCTATGCATTTTCCTTTAATGTATTTATTCATTCATGAGTTTTCATGAGCTTCATGAGCAGCAGTACTTAATAAATAGGTTTAGGACAGAGGACTTTAACGCACATAATATTCATTGAAACAATCTTTATTGACACAGTATTCAACATTGAGTAAGGTCCTATTACGAACAAAACCAACTTCTTTCTAATTTTTGGTATATGTATACAATCTTAAGTCCATGACACCCGAATCCATGATGCTGACGTAATCACTATCTCGACACCCCACCCCCTCAGGTCATCCAAAATAAGCAAAACAAAGACCCCCTGCCCCCCTATAGTGCTTACGTAATACTTGAATGGCCCCTTTATTATTTACTATGTTAATTTACTATGTTCCTCTGTAAGGTGTAGGTTATTTCCCCAGACGGGTATTTCAATATGAGCGGAAAATCTAGCCCTATCATACTTGAAGATGGATGAGATATGTGAACGGTTTTTGAGGTGAACATATAAAGCGGCGAGTGTGAGTTAATCTGTTGAGTGACGAAGCTCGCAATCATAATTAAATCTGATAAGTGGAGCCGGGGTCGAGCTGAAGACTGTTCTTTTTTACATTCACACCAATTAGCCTAGCACCAAAGTAAGCACTGTAAGGCTTGCGTTATGGGATGCTAGGGTAACGAATACGAATACATATACTGTACATAGCTTTATATATATAATTCTTCTGTGAGTGTGTATGTCACTGAACTTCTCTTAAACGACTGGACCGATTTTGATGAAATTTTTTGTGTGTGTTCAAGGGGATCTGAGAATGGTTTAGATTCACAATTTTTTATTTTTTTAATTAATTTTTAATTTATTAGTAGTTGTTGATTTTGGAATGTTTTACATTGGATCCGACAGACGGCGCTACAGTGTCAAATTTTCAAATTAAAGACGTGTAGACAGGACAACGTCTGTCGGGTCCGCTAGTATAGGTATAGTTATATAGAAATACATATTAAACATCCATGACTGGAGTACAAATGCTCGTATTCATCACACAAACATTCAGCCACCGGGATTCGAACCCGGGATCTCTCGAGTCAGCGACTTCATGGAACCCAGCGTACAAACTACTTGGCCACGGAGGTCGTCAAATCAAAAAGTAATGTCGTGCTTTTGAACCAGTGGATATTGAAAAAAGTACTCAGGGCGAATGAAAACAGCCAACTGATTGTTGATCTAGGTGACAGTAGAAATAGAAGATAGAAGAGTAGGATAGAGGTAGGTGGGTCAGTGGGTGTGTCAGCATCTGTCTGTGCTCAATACTGATGATGCTGGTTACTGAGCTTGTCTTTATAGGCTGAAAAATGTACTCAGGACGAATCAAGACAGCCAACTGATTGTTGATCTAGGTGACAGTAGAAATAGGAAATAGAAGAGTAGGATAGAGGTAGGTGGGTCAGTGGGTGTGTCAGCATCTGTCTGTGCTCAATACTGATTGAGATTCTGATGAACACGTCATCACGTGTTACTGAACCTATAAAGACCGAAGGAGGTTCTGAAGAAGCATGAGAACAGCCGGCTGATTGGAGAGTTCCTTGACAGTAGGAATCGGAGATGGAGGTGATGCTCATCTGTTTTTGTGGTGAAACAGCTGCGTGAGTAGGATAAATTACTTAAACGGTTTTGAGGTGAAGCATCTATTGTGGTGGGTGTGTGTGTCTGTCTGTGCTGAAGTGATCTAGAAGCCGTGAAGGTTCTGAGGTCGCACGAGAACAGCCTATTGATTGGCGAGTCAGGTTGGGTTAGAAAATGGAAAATGGATTAAAAACTTAAGTGTTTTTAAGCTTACCCATTTATTTATTTGAAAACATGTAACATGTTTGTAGCGGCGGATGTGTAAGCCTGTGTGTAAGCCTGTGCTGAAGATTGATGATGGTGTCTTACTGTGAAGGTTGAAGGAGGTTCTGAAGACGCATGAGAACAGGCAGCTGTTTAGTGAGTTAGGTGACACTTGGAATGGGAGATGGATGAGATACTTGACAGTTTAGAATAGAATAGAATAGAAAGAATAGAACGGAATGGAATAGGATGGAATAGAATGGAATAGAATGGAATAGAATGGAATAGAATGGAATAGAATGGAATAGAATGGAATAGAATGGAATAGAATGGAATAGAATGGAATAGAATGGAATAGAATGGAATAGAATGGAATAGAATGGAATAGAATAGAATAGAATGGAATAGAATGGAATAGAATAGAATGGAGTAGAATAGAATAGAATAATTATTTATTTGTGTTTGAACAGGGTAATCAAGATCACAAATAGTTACACATAACTATACTGTAGGTTTCACCTATTCAGCTATAGACCGTTTTTTTTTATGAGGTGAAATATCTTTCGCGGTAGATATTCAGTAACATGACGCTCGCAATGACAAGTTCCTACAATCTTGAGCTGTAACCTTTTAAGAACAATTTTCCTATGCATAAATAATAAAATTTCATCAACACCATATGACATTGTGGTGATAATTGAATGATCACATAAAATTATGTCTTTCGCATAATACATTGTAATTTCCACAAAAGATATCCTTTTGCATGTATAGCATGAAACTACACAGGTAACTTATTTTTCTGCAACTAACTTTGCCCCCTTTTTTATTCCGTAGGGTACAAGTTAAACGACTCTAAAGTCCATCGTGAGGAGCACAGCAAATGGCATCTCCCACATTGGTTGTTTCCTAGAGATGTCATACCTGAATACCTCTCTGGGACTAGCTACATCTTACAAGGTAGAGGTCAACATAGAACAACATATTTACCCGCCCTTTAGTGGCATTTTCGGCAATATTTGTAATTTAATAGAAATAATACTGGTAAGTGATAATATATCCCACTTTTCCGGTAAAATCACCAATATTACGTGAAATTCAAAAAATTTACGTAAATGACATTGTTCTGCGTTCATACATTGTTAGCCGAAGAACCAACAATCATGAAATATTATTTTCTAGGTTCGAAATCGAAAGTAAATGACTGTAAAAACAAGTCTTTCTTCCTAATGCCGGCCCTTCACTTGACAAAAGTCTGTCCTTGTCATGCTTAATAAGGAATGAAAAGGACAGACTGACGTCAAGTTTTCAAATAGAAAACACGAATAGCCAAGTGAAGTGCCGGCATTAGGAAGAAAGAGTGTTTTGTTTGCAGCGCTGTCATAGATTATACACATAAAATGATAGTTATTGTCTCAGATTAATTTTTAACTTTTTAATATAGCTTACTTAACTGGAAGTGTCCGTCACAATCTAAATACTGATAATTAACCCAAAAAATATACTAAGAATTATCATAAATGCCAGATTGGTGTTGGTTCTTAGGCCAAATTTAACATTGTCCTTTAGAGTGAATATAAGTAAGCAGTGAAGGTGAGCGTTGATGCGCATCTTAAAGGGGGCCCCCTTAATCCTACACATGGGTCACAGGTCCCGGGAACTGCTCAGAGTTTCTCTCTCTCTCATACTATGGACCCGGCACCCGCACGAGGAATCCAAGCATTGCTAAGAAGCTCGTCTCTCTAAGTGGAACTTCTGGAAAACCATTAACCAAAAAATTAGTTAATTTGCTGTTGCTGCCCTCTATCTGAATATGATACCGACCGACCTGTGTTTGTAATAGCAGCAATAGGTTGTTGTTACCATATTATTAGCATTTTCTTTAGATTATAATAAATCCAGCAGATTGATGCTTAAAATTAAAAATACATTGGTACAGGTCGCGGCATGCATCGCACAGTTGCGCGTCCCTTCCCTCCAAAGGGGCCAGCGCGGGTGGTTCGACAACCCGTCTGCGCATTGCACGGACCCGCTTGTCTGGGGGATCGACTAGTTGCACCTAGTCCTCCCCCTCCCGAGAGGTGGGGCCTTACCAGCACCCCACAAATGGGGGTGGCGGCCTGGAGAACTGGCTCGTTCCGTCCCCAGGCCTCATCCTCCCCGAGAGGGTGCACGCAGTGGTTTTAGCGGGTAGTCTCTGTTGGGGACCCTCTGCGGTATTTGCCAGGAGAGGACCCTGACGGGGGAGTCTCGCATATCCTCGTCGGTCGTCAGCCGGCGGGTTGAACGCGGAAATGCGTTTCCACTGCGACAAAAAAAAAAAAAAAAAAAGGTCGCGGCATGTAACTCTAGCGCTGCACAAAACGCGTAAAGGATAGCTGCGCATGGGAACGACTGGAGAGCCAATCGGCGCAACGCACGCCCACCCGCGCACCTCGTTCCCCCCCTACACATCTTCATTTCTACTCCTGCGCAATAACGGCCAGCGCTAGAGTTTCGTGCCGCGACTTATAAGGTTGTACCTGTTTGTAAACAACCACCAAAGATAGATGCATGCGATACCAGAGTTTCACTTAACGTTCCAACACCACTATTCCTACATGAACAAACAAAGGACATTGGACAAAAATGTATGGACGCTGCACCCACGTCCGCCACGGCTTAAACTACATTTGTTTGAAAGGTATTATAGTCATGATCATCTATGTCAAAGCGCATCAAATTCCATCCCGGGAGTCTTTAGTTATTTTAAGTTAAATATAGGTTGGTACAAGTACTATAACGAATGACCATTAATGAAACAAGGGAATTAATTTAGTTAGTTCGACCATACATAGAGGGCTCAGGTATTATGGGAGTACTTCACGAGGTGCAAGGGTGCCCCCTCATGTTATTCTGCCGCGCTCAAGTAAATCCAAATATCCCCGCATGGGTTGGGGACTTTTCAAATAGTCTGTTTGTTATAGTAAATTGTCTTCTATGTAGGGCTGCCATCTCTAAAATGTGGCAACCAGGATAAGACGCGTGATAACCCCGGATTTTGAAGCCCAGAACCCGGACAGACCAATAAAAAAACAGCTAAAAATGTCACAAATCAACTTTTTTATGTTGATCTAGTCAAAAGAGCGGTCTACCTCATAATAAGTGGTCACTGCTGCCCATGGACACTTGCAGCACCTAGGGCCACTCATGCGTTGCCGTAAATTTTCAAACCCGGACCACAAATAAAACCCCGCCCGGACGCTCCCCGGACGCCCAGTAAACTAGGACAAATCCGGGGAAACCCGGACGGATGGCAGCCCTACTTCTATGTAAAACAGAGCGAACACAAATCACACAAACTTGTCCAAGCTTCGGAGAAAACATGATTCCAGTTCATCCATAGATACTAATTGACAAAACCGATAACCGTGTTCTAATGTTCAAAGCCTGTCAGATAAAAATCAATCAAGTGAAGTTCTAGAACCTCCTAGATACACATCATCACCATCGGCATCAGCCTATTAATGTCACCACAGCCGGGGCACAGGCCTTCTTTATGGATGGAATAAGGAGATTGGGCCATGACACACCACGCGGGCGGCGGATTGGTGGGTGCTGATGACTGCAGATGCAGCCGAGACCGAGAGAAATAGTCTTCCGAAGCACGGAGGAGTTCGAGATAGTAAATTTTTGGTCACGCATCCAATGACCGATCACTGCGAAAGTTGCTTAACTTCAACGATCGCAGCCGAACGCGCTAACTATTTGTGCCCACGAGCTGCTCCTACATACACAACACCTACAAAATAAGTAGTGTTATTTAACTGTATTTTTCCAAGTCTAGTGAAAAATCTACTTATCCCTTACTATCTTGATCTATTTATTTCCAGGAGATTACATTGACAAGATATTGGAAGCATCATACAAGACACCTATGATTAACTTGGAAGATGTTTACTTCACCTATTTGGTCAGCAGAAGTGCCTTAAGGTTATCGTTAAGTCATAACAGAAGACTGAGTCCCTACAAACCTTGGATCACGACCGATTGTGCTTTTTGGGGCTTGGCATCAGTTCATAGTGTGACTCCAATGGAGATTATGAGAGCGTGGGAGAAGATAGAGAGTTTAGCGTGGAGAATTGAGAGGGGAGAAGAAGTGTGCACTTACATGCGGTATTTTTCTAGTGACATCTTTTTGTATTGAAGATGGTGTTAGTTGAAGTCAGACTAAAGATGACGTACATGTTTTCATACTAGAGTCAAGTAGGGGTAGTTAAAGAAAGAAAATATGTTTTAATTGATGACACATAACAAACACATAAGAAGCAAAAATATACATAACATGAAGTAAAACAAAATGTACAAGTAAAATTAATAACAACAGAAAACAGCTACAGAGAATAAATGTGTATTTTATATGATGCCAACACTGGATATGGCTCAACATACACAGCAGGCAAGATTCCTGCTGCACTGGTATTCTGCCATACACAGAGCGGTGACATCACAGAAAACAGAACAAGAAATACAAATTACTAATTAGGTAAGTAACAAGGGGCACATTGTTACGGCCATTTGTCGTCTGATCACACCCGCTTGAGACACTGTGGCGGCGACATCTACATATAATGAATATGGAGGAAATAATTACTCGCCTCCTCAAGAGATGGCGCTACCGGCGTTGATCTCACAACGTATGGAAGTCTACATCGCGCAAGTGAAATTCGGAAGCAAATACTCCATACATACAAAGCCCAACCAACATCAGTCGGGCCTCGTCCCCCGAGCTACCATCACCCAGCGCGGAGGAAGATCTTCCCCTTTGGCCTTCCTACAAAATTAATACTGTGTAATATGAGGTGGAATAGCCTGCCGCGAATGAATACTGCGCGGTCACGAACTATCTTGTGATGAGGTGCAAACGTCAATCGGTTATCTAACGTGACTCCCAAGTACTTGACCCGGTCCTCCCAGGGGATGACCCGGTCAAATAATTGGATGCTCGGAAGAGAAGAAAAAAGCTGAATGATAAGTTTTATTCACTAAGAAGCATTAGCTACAAGTTTGAAAGTAAAATAAAATATTATGATAAAGACAACTTGACACTATAAATAAACATACTCGTACAGCGTGTAATTTTATTTGGTACTGTAACACCATAGCATTAAATATCATCACGCCGCCCGTTACTAGATGGCGCTGTACGCATGTGAATCGCGCTATTCTATACTGACACCGATTGTATGGCACATCATAGGATCAAATATCATCACGCCGACCGCTACTAGATGGCGCTGTACGCATGTGAATCGCGCTATACTATACTGGCACCACTTGTATAAGGTGTTCTTGGGAAATTGGCCAAACCATCGCTTCATAGGTAGGGCCTATTGTCTTGCACGCTATACGCTTCCACCACGTGGGACGTCTTAGTGTCTTGATAATAGTATACATGTACTTCCACCCTTGTGGGATATAGGGACACGATATCGAATAGAAAGTATCGATACTGTATTCATGAGTAGTATCGGTAAAAAAGTATCGTACTCGTAAAAGTATCGAAACAAAAGTATCGATACTTCAAAGTATCGAGTACATTTCATAGGGCCTTATCGGATCCTCTGTGGCCCGATGAGCAACCCCCCCCCCCCCCCGGGTTAAAATTTGAAAGAAAAACAATCCAATTTTATTATAGTACGTATAATAACAGTAAAAGGACATATAAATTCACAAATTGCTATATTATATAATGAAAAGAAAATAGCTGTGATTTCTGACACTTAAAAAGTGTTCATTAATATCACATTAATAATTAAAATGCTACTTGAATCTGACACGCAGTTAACGGCTGCCATTGGCATGCTTCACTCAATATTATAATTATAGAAGAGGTTACGTCCGTCTTTTTTTCAGGTCCGTGGTTTCAAATAGGTATACACAGCACAGACAGAATAATAGTGTTACACTTGAATACATCGAATGCAGTCAAGCGAAAAGCACAATAAACGGCGAATCATCAATCACAATTCCTAACAATATGGTCGCTAAATAAATAACTATGAAACAAAACAAAGCGCAAAATAAACACAGTCACAGATTGGAAAGAATTTGAATATATCATAAGAATATGAGGCGCTTGTCCAAATTTTAAAAGTATCGATACTTACTTGTCAAAAAGTACTCAATAAGTAAAAGTATCGAATACAAAGTATCGAGTACAAAAGTATCGGTATCGAAAGGAAAAGTACTCGATACCACAAAGTATCGATACTTTTTTCGTGTCCCTAGTGGGATACAGTAATACCATTTCTCTTACAAATAATGAATAGTAATCAGAATATAAGTATTTTCTACCTACGCCGATCTTTATTTGACGTCAGTCTTCTCACACTCCCCCTTCGCCCTCCCGCACATTCTTACAGTACATATTTAAATAATTAGCAGAAAAATAGGAGTTAACCCTCAACTCATTCTTGTATTTTTTAGGTGATTATTTAAAAGGACTTTGAGGAATATTTTTACATTTATCATTTTATATTCTTTTTGTTCAATATACAACAGAAAATAACCCCACTATTACGAAGATAGAGGTGACAACGGAAAAGAATACCGCTACAGCTAGGGACACGATATAGAATAGAAAGTATCGATACTGTACTCATGAGTAGTATCGGAAAAAAAGTATCGTACTTGTAAAAGTATTGAAACAAAAGTATCGATACTTCAAAGTATCGAGTACATTTCATAGGACCTTATAAGCAATGTAGATACTCTTAAAAACGTATAATGTTAATATAATCAACTGCAAAACTAAACGCGAATTACTCAAGTACGTAAGTCTCAGGACACTAGATTGTTTCTGCTTCCAATTATATCAACGCAATCGAATGTTTTAGAAGGTTTGCTATGATTCCACTAGATGGCGTTGCCATCAATATAAGGCGCTTATCCAAATTTTTAAAGGTATCGATACTTTTTTTAGTTTAGTTATTTAGTTGAAGTATCGAAAACCAAGTATCGAGTACAAAAGTATCGGTATCGAAAGGAAAAGTACTCGATACCACAAAGTATCGATACTTTTTTCGTGTCCCTAGCTACAGCTCGTCATCTTGCTTGCCCTTATTCCCTAATAAGTGGTGGGACAGAATAGCCCCATCTCCCTAACCCTTCCACAGGGAAGGCCAGTGCCCCAATAGGAAGAACATTATTGCTTATTCCCTAATAAGGGCAAGAAAGATGAGGGGCTGTAGTGTGGTTAGGGAACAAAAAAGTAGTGACTATAATACATGTAGTCTTCCGTGTAAGATACTTCCGCAGACGGGCGTTTTCATTCGAGTCTTTCGAAGGGGAAATGTGCTAACTTAGACAGATTAAGTGTTATACTAGCAAACCAGTGAACCAAATGTTCACCAAAACCTGATTTCTCGAAAACCGGAAGTGCTACGTTACTCAAATCCGGTATGTAGTCTTATCAGACTATTCTTAACTTATAACTTAAATATTCTCTTTATCTATCTCTTACGGTTTGGCCGCTGAAACAGCACCACGGACAGACGGACTCGTCTAATAGATAAGAGACTAGCAAACCAGTGAACCAAATGTTCACCAAAAAAAAAATGTATTTAATTAATTGAGAACTTCGGAGATTTTGTGTGGTCTCGTTTGAAATAGAAATCACGTGATTTCTCGAAAACCGGAAGTGCTACGTTACTCACATCCGGTTTGTAGTCTTATCAGACTATTCTTAACTTATAACTTAAACATTCTCTATATCTATCTCTTACGATTTGGCCGCTGAAACAGCACCACGGACGGACGGACGGACTTGTCTAATAGATAAGAGATAGTTCGCTTGTACTTATCTGCGGTGCAGTCGGGAGGCAGTGTAAACAATAAGTCCAGCGCTCAACAGTGAACAGTTTATTTGCACAAGCACAGAATAGAAGGAGTACAGAGAGAGAAGATTGTGGGAGAACCCCACAACGCCATCTTTTCGCATTGTTGGTAACTTGCAGCCAAAGAAATGCTAGAGAAAATTCGACCTGGCCATCAGAGCCGCGGTAGCATAATGGTAAGTGCATTCGTCCGGATAGCGAAGAGTGTGGTTTCGAGTCCCGCTTGCTGCTTAGGCCGCGTGGAATTTCTTCTAGTAATATTTTTTTAGAATAAGTGTGTTGCCATTTGTGAAACAAAACTTCATTTTTAGACATCATTAGGTTATTAATGTTCCTACTTTTGGGGCACTACCCTTCCCTACGGAAGGGTTAGGGAGATGGGGCTATTCTGGCCCACCACGTGGGCACAAAGCGGATTGGGGGGTGGTAACCACTGCAGGTCCAGCCAGACGATAAATTTTTTGACGTGCTTCGGAAGGTACGTTAAGTCGTTGGTCCCGGCTGCATCTGCAGTCGTTAGCATCTTAGATTAAAACAAAAAGGGTAGAAACGGTACGCTCATACTAGCATCAAATAAAATATGATCCGACTCAACTACTTAAGCAACTCTTGCCACGCACACGTCTATATATAAACATCAATCGAGCGAGCGAGACAGAACTATACGCTTCACCGAAGCATATTGTTGTCCTTTTCTTGCTTACAAAATGGCGATTACGTAAATGTTTTCACAGTTTTACGAATGAAAAGTGTTGTCGTGGCATTTATTTTTGAACTATTTGTGTTCTTTATAAAAGCATCGAAGGCATTGTTATATCTTCATAACACAGAATACACGCAATATTGTTATATTGAGTGTACATGCAGCGTGTTTGAATGTCAAATTGTGACTAAAGCGAATTATGGTCGTGGGACCACAATTTAAGCGGATCACTTTTGAGCCGCGTATGCCGTATCTTCCCTTTTTGTTTTAATCTAAGGTTAGCACTCGCCAATTCACACTGGGCCCGCGTGGTGAGTCATGGCCCAATCTCCTTATTCAATCCATTGGGAAGTCCTGTGCTCCAGCAGTGGGGATATTAATAGGCTGATGACGATGAATTTTTCTTCACTCATACTCGGCCGTTGCGAAAGTTGCTTAATTTCCATGATTTCAGGTCGACAGCCCTGATGCACTGCACCATCGAGCCCCTCATTGATTTCTAAACCTTTCAAAGTATGAATGAGTAACATTGTTGTTGAGTGTTAAGTTCCTTTTTTATATTCATGTATTTATTAACAAGGAACACGGTACAATTAATAGCTGTTACAATAAATATGAGGCTCAAACATGATTCGCTAAATTAGTATGCAAATATTAAATTATTTTACAACAACAATCCAATTAATATTATTTTTGTAATCATTCACATTAATGTCTATCATATCTATACATATAATAAAATGGTAGGAAAGTGAAAACTGTAAATTGAATATTTCTTTAAAAGAATAATTGGGATACTTGTGATCTACAATTTAATCGATACCGAAGCCGAAAATATAGTTTTTGAAGTTATACTTCTTTAGGCGCGTTATGAAAAAATGATGAGAGTGAAATTTTAAGATGCGCACGCATCACTGTAACACAAAATGCTGTTACTTTTGTGTTTACCGCACATTAAGAAAATCTATCAGCAAAATAGAAATAGAATCTCTATTTAGTGGGTGCTAACGACTGCATTGTGAAGGCCTATCAAAAGTATTTATTAATCTGGAACAACGGAACCAAAGCGCGATTCAGGAGACTACAACGCCATCTCTTGACCATTGGTGTAGTAGAACCAAAAACCACATCTTTATTTTTTGTAATAAAGTAACAGTTATAGGTATTCATATTTATAATATTTATCCACATGTTTCTAGTTTGTATATTCGGAATACGTGTTTGAGTTTCATACAAGTGCAAATCACATATGTTCTAATAAATTATATTCAGTAGCGATTTTAATTGAATATTTTGATTATTTATTTATTTTTTCAAATTAAAACTGAACTTTATTGACTGTGTCCTTTTCCAGACTTTTTAT